TCAACAATCATCAAACAGTTTGTTTACATCACAAAGCTGATGAACACATTAGCAGCTCCTCGTTTTCTGAGAAATACATAATTTCACTGTTGAACTTCTATTTAAAAAGTAAAATCCAATACTTTCAAAATAATACATTTTAAAGCTGTATTTGTAAAACAGTGAGGCCATGATAATTTGGCTCGTGGTTAGCATACCAACATGACCTGATAAAGTCTCAGGCCTCGGGGCCAATCGAGAAAACTAACGATAAATTCATTGCTTTTTCCAAATACAACATAACGGTAATGAAATAGTTTCCGTGAAATCAACCCCTATAAAATGGCAACTCCTCAAGCAAAGGAACTATGCCTGTGTAGGGCGGCTTATTGAAAAATAATTAATTAAGGCAAAATAATTACGTTCGTTGCGGCGGCACTCTGGGTTGCGCCGAGACATTGTCAGGTGTGCCGCGGGAAAATATCCAATTTGTATGCCTGTGCGGTCTTTCGCCCAGAAAGTAATCATGTAGTACCCTCTCGTACCGCTAGGAGGGAGCAACAGCTAGCCAATTCCCTTGTGTTTCGACGAGAGACAGGCGAATTTGTGACGCATGAATGCAGGACGACGGTGAAACAATAAATATGAAAGATAAAAAATAAATATTTATTTAACAAGATACAGTTACACTTAATTGTTAAAATAAGCTTTTTTCACGTTTCCAGGTAGTGGTGTGCCGCGAGATTTTTTTCAATGAAAGAAGTGTGGCTTGGCTCAAAAAAGTTTGAAAAACACTGACTTAAACAACCACGGAAAGAGGGGGGCGGGGGTAACTGGCTGAGCTGATTTGGTTACCATGAGCTCGACCACCCCCTCACAAAAGAAAATATGCCCCGTGTGAGGCTCGAACTCACGACCTTCAGATTATGAGACTGACGCGCTGCCTGCTGCGCCAACGAGGCTCTGCACTTCATTCCATTATCAAGTCATACCTCGGTTTGCGACCATAATCCGTTCCAGAAGGCTGTTCGAAAAACCGATTTGTTCGAAAACCGAAACTACGCTCTTTATTGAACACGTCTGTTCACAATGCAACTATACGAGGAAGCGTCACTTCCTAGTCTACCCGAGGAAGCTCACTTCGTCGTTGTAAGGAAGGCGGGAGGAGTCAAGTGCCGCATTCAAGTGCGCTCAGTTTGTTCGAGAACCGAAATTCGGTCGTCATCCGAGGCATAAAAAAATCGAAATTTTTGGTCGAAAACTGATTTGGTCGAGAACAGAGAGGTTCGAAAACCGAGGTTTGACTGTATTGTCAAGTAGTGGTACTGAAGACTCCCGTGGGCGAAATAGGCCTTACAAATACCCCCCCCCCCAAAAAAAAACAGAACCAAAAAAAAGTCCATTCGGTTTTTCAAGGCAATGTAGATGCACGAAGGCATTAGTGAGTGCTTGTCTTTTTACATTAACACAGGGGGGGGAATGCTGGACTCAGCATTTTCAAATTTTTACTTGCTGGGTATTTTTTATTCATTTATTTATTTTTAAGATTTCCGATCATTCAACATTCACAAAAAAAAAAACACGTTTACGCATAATAGCATTGGAACAAACGTTTGGCTCTCAGCATTCTCCCAAATAGCACTTACTTCCTCGCTGTCTGTGGATGAATGCCAGAATTCTTGGTGTGTGAATGTCAGCAAACGCACTTTTCATGCTTATTCATTCATTTGCAATATGCTAATGCAGGAATGTTTCTGTGTGAACATCCTGACTCTTAGCATTAAAATGAACTTGTGAACCTACGATAGCATTCATGTGAATGCGTGTCTGATCAAAAGGCAACGACGTGGGGTACCTCATGGGGCAGTCATTGAACCCATTTTGTTCACTCTGTTTATATTACCCTTGGGTCAATTGTGAGTGATTTAATGTTATTTTGGCAGACTTATTTACAAGTAATGGCATGATCAAACGATTCCAAGTTCCCTCCGAGCCATTAGTTTTTCTCTGCTGCTAAAAATGAACAAAGTCAGGGCTTTCTTTTGTAAGCATAAAAGATACAGCTTTTCCAGGTGTGGTCTAATCAGCGGCAAAATCTCCGCTTTTACTTATTTGGTAGGCTGCGATGTCAGCACTTCCAAATAGGGGCACGCTGGCAACCGGGGTGCCATCGTCATCTTCCTGTTGCCGTGCAACGATTTCACACTGAGCAAGTGCAGTGTGAATAGGGCTTAAGCCCCCCCACCCTCCGACATGGTCACAATTCTTGAAACTCTTTCTGACAGGAGACTCTGCCAGACATTCCCAGCAGAATCCCTTTGATATGTTTGAGTCTACCAGGTCGCTCCAGCTCCACTGGAACCAACACGGGTGAGAACTACGCCCCTCTCTTCACCCGACAGTCCAAAACATGCGGCCGCAAGTCCAAGGACACGAGCACTAAGTCGATTATCCAATTGTGGAGTGCGGTGTCCTGGTACCAAATGCTGTCGTGATGGACAATCAATGACAAGCACATAAGATAAGATAAGATAAGATAAGATCCAATAACAGATCACCGCTCGGGATGGGGTCAAATGACACTTCTGAGTCTCACTGTCATTTCCCACATGAGCACTTATGGCCTCTCTCAGTAGTTCCACAAATAGCGGTAAGCTACTAAAAAGCAAAAGCTACGCGGGTCTTAATTAGCTTGAAACTGCTTTTATTTGGACTTTACAGCATTAAACAAGGTAGCATCAACACACTCAACACTTCCGAGTTGTGTTACGGGCCAAGCATCAGCTGCAGTGCTGTTTTTTTTTTTTTATCTTCGTATGGACTACATCCAGACAGTCTGGAATGGGACACATTTCTCAGGAGTGTGTGAGAACACTGCAGCAGCTCCCTGTTAAGCCATCGCTCGTCTACAAGTCCTCAAACATGACACGCAATCTCTCTGCTCCAATAAATGTTTGTCCAAAGCCTGTTGGTGGTACATTCACAAGTAGCTTTCATTTTTTTGGGCCTTGCGTCTTGTGTATAAAGCTTCAAATGTAGATAGAGAATCCATTGCTGATGGCTTGCTTACAAAAAAAAAGGTCTCCCACATGTTTACAACACGACACAGCTGTATGGATAAAACTGTCATCGCTTGAGGGCAGTTTTGGATGGCCACCAAAATGGGAGGGGAGGGGGCAATAGCTTGGCCCGCATGAAAGGAGCCACATAAGGTGAAACTGGTGTGTGACAAGCATACCTCCTCGGGGTTTAGGTGCGGGTGGGCTGTTGCGGCATGTTGTTAAACTCATAGCAGAGAAACTCAAAAACTTGTACCGCCCCTCACTTTTGCTTGAGAGAGAACTGAGAGTTACATACAAATTGCGTGTAAATAAGTGTTTAACGACCCCGTAAAGTGAATTTAAAGATATATTTAAAAATACATTATACAAGTTTGAAGCCAATTCCTGGAAAAAAGATGCAAAGACTTAACAATGTCATACTGAATTGTTCAGCTATAGCGCTCGAGCATTTTGCACCATTTCAGTTTTCCAGATTTTTTTAAGCATGGCAAAAACAGTGCCTGAGTTGAGTATTTTGTCGTCTGGAACGCCCCCGTTTTGTTATTTAAGCAAAAGTCCAAGTCAAAAATGTGTTTTAAAAATATGTTCCAAGCATCTCAGCAGTCTAAACGTGGTATTCTGATTAATATGTGTTAGTGAAATATCAATTGAGCAGAAAAGTCCACCTGTTTTTACTCATCTCAGGGGGCTGCCATTTTGCACTGTGATGTCATTTTCAGTCGGCAGCAAGTGGCGGTACGAAGCAAAGCAGCTGGAATTGAATCCTGCACCTCTGCACTGTGAGGCGGACGTGCTAACCGGCTGTCCAACGTGCCGCCCTGATTTGCAACACCCAAACAAAAATATTTTCACGTATGATAACACTTGTTTTTGGGGGAGTTTTTTTTTTTTTGGCTCCTCAAGGATTTTTCCACAGAATGAGTGGTACTGTACATTGGGGGAATTGTTTTGTGTTAAGATTGCACTCATGATAAAACAGTTACGAGACATGATGGCATGAGTGCGAATGCTCATCTCTCAGCATTCACGAGAGTGCAAGCAAACTGGGGGATGTTCGTTACTATATTGTATGATCAACAAACCCCTTAGAAATAATCCCTGTTTAGTTAACGCGCTACTCCTTATCCTGCGATGACAGGAGATGGCTGTGCATCACTGGACACACAAACACCCAACCCCACCCCCCACCCCCGCTCGCCTCCACGTATACAGATCAATGTACATCATACTCACTACATACATACACACGTGGTGCACAGGAGCACAACTTGATGCAGATTTTTTACAGCCGCTCATGAACACCATACCTTCCACCAAAGCATGCACTTATTTATGTTGGGAAAAACTGCCAACACTTTATAGAAGTGGGGGGTTTCTCTCTCACCACACGGCAATGCGTTCTTTGGGGTAGTCGAGGCGCTCCACGGAGCCCAGCACATAGGGCAAGGAGTGCTCCGAGTTGCGGCAGATAAGGGCGAGCACGACCCGGGGAGCCAGAAGAGGTGATTCGGGGCTCCAGCGCTCCTCGGCGAAGTAGCCCAGGGAGGGCGTGCAGAAGCCGCACAACAGACACAGTAGAACCAAGACGACGCCGTGGCTCATGGCGATTCCTCGGATGGAATTGGTCTGCATAAATAAATGTGAGTGATGGACGGTGGTGCACACAATGCTATCCGCCTCGGCTGGGTGCAATCATATAAACCGGGAGAAAAATAGATATTGTGCTGTTGTAGCGGAGCTGCAAAGTTGGGCTTTAAAGGGGAGGACGGCGTCATGTTAAAGGGAGGGAGGAGAAAACTTCGCCACTGTGGGGAATCAACCATTCATCGCAATCAATACGAGCAAATTAAAAGGAATCAATAAGGTAGTCAAACACATATTGTGTTTTGCAAATTTGTTTCTTTCTATTTTTTCTTCACTATCTGAGGAGAAAACAATTTTGACAGGTATTACAAGCAGTTTTCACCAATCCCATGTTTAATGTAAATTAAGCAACAGTACAGATACACCCACAAGTCACTATTAATTTAAAATTTGTGAATTTCTTATCAGGTATGTGTTGAACAGACGTGAGGCCATCGGTGTTGTCGGTAACACGTTACTCAATAATGGCTGTTACTATGAGTAACTAATAATGTAACGCATTACTAATATCGTAGTAGGAGTAAAGTAACTATTCAACAACTTAACGCATTATTAATGAGTGTTGACAAAATGCATCTATTTTCAGAAAAGGTGAAAGCAATAGACAATCTCACAAACTACTGTTCATTATGAAAAATAAGAGTATTAAAGAGAAACGATTTACATCTTCAACGGTGAGGCTTTATGGGATGATGTCATCTACGCCCCATCACCGGGATGAGTGACGTCACGTATTTGCCAAGTCACATTTGAAGCACTCTGCCATCTCACGTGATGCACACCGAGAAAGAAAGTCACTATGCTGAGTTTGCAACAATAAAAATGAAAAAATTAAAAGTTCGCTGCACACTCCGTACTGTAGACAAAGTGTTATCTAGCTTTAAAAAATAACGACATCAGCTTCTTCTCTCCTTCTCTATTTGGTCTAGAGAAATAAATCACTGGGAATGAAAAAAAGGATTCCAGCTTCTTTGTCATCGGAAAGCGTTAAAGTTTGGCCCCAGAACCGAGCCTCTCCACCTTCATCGTTAAAGCAGCGGCGGCGGGCTCGTCGATGAGCCACAACAGCTCCCCGTTAGTCGGGTGGACGCGGGCTGCCGGAAACGGCGGACCCTCTCGTCCCTCCAGAACCTCCTGCAGAGAAATAATCAATACGGCGCCACATCAACCCCACAGTAATCGAATACAATGGTAACTTGATTTATAATCGCTTTGTTGATTTGTTTTTGTTTTTTTTTGCTTTGTGCTACAGAGATACTGGCGCTCAAGTAAAGTGAAAAAGAAAAAAAAAAAGATGCAACTGAAATACAGTAATGCCCTCGCATGTGAGCAAGGAGAGCCATAATCGCCAATGTACTTTCAGCCGTTTATTGGACGGGATAACGAGTCAAACACTCAAATGCGAACTGAAGACACACCATTTTGGTCACTGAAGGAATTATGCAAGTAAGTTTTCGAGACCACCGTGGTATGTCAATTGCTTTACCTTCAAAACAGGTGCTTTGCTGCCCCCGGTGGACACAAAAGTAGCGCAGCGGGCAGCATTCACAACTGGAAATGTCATGGTCACACGTTCTGGTGGTGGCTTGGGAGAATCGCTGATGGGAGCCACGATCTTCTGGCTCTCCTGGTCACGGGGTGTGAGCAAAAACAGGTAAACCACATACACAAGCATGAATGACAATACATTGAGTAACACAATGCACGGATGGGACAAGTTTGCAATCTTATAAATAATAAAAGTTTTATCAATCAGGGATAAATTCTCTGTAATGTTCTATGATGGAGATAGTATCTGGATCCGTATTGTGCAGGTCTGGATGTGGAGCAGATTGCTTTTTTTTTTTTTTTTTAAGTGATCAACATAGAGCGCAGCCCTCACCTCTAAAAGAGGATGTTCAGGGAAGAGGGAGCATGTGTGTCCATCTGGCCCCATGCCCAGCAGGAGTAGGTCAAACACGGGAATGTCGTCATCAGGGAAAGCCTGTGCATGATTGGACATAACACACGAAGCTGTAAAAAAAAAAAAAATCATCCAACAAAGTCATACCATGCATATTTTTTTGAAAGGATGTTGAACCTTTCTCAGTTTGCCAGAGTAATCCTCAGCACACTCGCTCACTCCGAGTGAGAAGTCAATGGCCAAGATTGCGTCATCTGGGATGTTGATTTTTGAAAATAAATGACTCTGGGGACAAAAAAAAAAAGAGAGAGAGATTTTTACTCGAGATACAATCCAAGCAAATACATATCTTACCTTGTAGAGGCCATAGGTGCTGTCAGGGTTGTCAAATGGCACCACTCTCTCATCGCAGAAGCCCACCACCCACTTGCTGCAGTCCAGGCCTGGCACAGCAAGCAGCTCCTTGGCGAGCATGGTCACCAGACTCCCTCCAGAGAGTCCCAGGGTGAACCTGCCCCGGGAGTTGACCGCTTGCTCAGCCCGAGAGGTCACCAAGTGGGCCAGCACCGGGCCAAGTTCTACCGAGGTGGGGAACACTACCACTCTCCTGCCTGCCATATTGTCTGTGTGAGGGCAAAGGGGAATTTGTGCAATGCTTTTTGTGAGCAATCGTTGTTTGTCAAGACCTCATGATGACATTTCATTGGAACAAAGGCCAGCTTGAGCATCTTTTTTCTTTCTACAGCTCACTTCATGCTCAAGGCAACTCAATGCCCTTCACACGATCAAAAGCACAACAAAACAGACTTAAATGGTAAGCAGGTGTTCTGAATAAACTCACGTTAAATTAGACTTGTAAACACGTTTCCAAATTAACTCAATTTTTACAGAAAGCGATATGGACAATTCCATTCTTAAGAACCACGAACAAAAACTGAAAAAAACTACATTGTCTAGTGTTAAAACATCCTGTACTGTACTTACTCAATATACGCAATCGTAAACGCTGAAGATTTTCAGTCGGCGACGTTAAAATCACTTCCTGGGACGACTTTCCAGCCAATCACGTGTCAGTTTTAGACCGCGGTGCATTATGGCCATTGTTGTCTCTAATTAAAACAAGACAAAACATGTCTTCGCAAAGTATTTAAAAGGACAACAAATTAAACATTCCAGAAAATGTTGTCGTTTGTGACTTTATTTACCGTGGGTGAATCGTAAGAGTGTACGAAGAGGATTGTCGGTTGAGGTACCTAAATCATGTTGAACACCCCCTGGAACGAATTTCAGTAGCCAATCATATTGTACGTTTACATCGCGATGCATTGTGGTAAATAGTGTCTCCGATCCAGACACCCAGCTAAAACTCGTCTTTTGTCAGGTATTAAGAGATGCAACTAATGAAATTGCAGAGAAATAGTATTAAACGTGTAAATGACGTGTGTGAGTGCAAAGACTGCATGAAAAATATTTTTTCGATTGCTAAACCTTCAGTAACCAATCACATTTTTATTAGACCACTGTTTTTATGGTATGCGCGTTGTTTTTCCTCCTCAGGTTACCGAAATAAATTTTATTTTCGAACTCGGGGTTTAATGTAACACAAACACCTGAAATTGTGTTTCCCCCAAATTATTCATTTTGACCAAATCTGTTCTGGCCGCAAGGGGACAGCCGTACTTCTGGTCTTGGTGTAGTCTGGTGAACGTTTGGGGGGCAAAGAAGAAGAAACAAAGGGGTGACTTGTGTTGTTTCCATGCGTCCGACTTCTCTAGCGTTAAAGTCCTTAATTCAAACAATATGACGGCTTTCTGCTTCCAGACACAGCTCGTGTCCATCATGGACGCGTTGTGCAACGCGACCGTGACAGAAATCGGCAAGCTGGTGGAGATTGAGTCGAAAATGCTGAAAATCGAGATCACCCGCGGCCGTAACGAAATCGCATCTCTCACCGAGAAGCTGAATCTGATGGAGACTTTGCTCCACATGGCGCAGCGGGGCAGGCCGCAGGACGCCAGGGAAGGCTTGGAAACCGCCGCGCTGGAGCCTGATAGGACAAGACCTGTCTCCAAAAGGTAGGCTTGTTTTTCTTCCATCTTAGCATTCCCTGAGTCGACATGCAGGCTGGAGATACCAGGGAAGTGTAATCATGGCCGCACAAGGTACTGACTCTAAAACGGTTGCGTTCTAGTGAGTTGACATGGGAGAACATCAGCTCCTCACCCGAGACGAGCACATCAGTCCAAGATGAGCAGCATCCTGCAGTTGAGGTTTGTGTTTCCAGTGGTTGCCGTGCTGTATTGTGCAGTAGGATAATTGCACTATTTCCCTAATTAGACGCTTCAGTTACCAACTGAGCATCCTGAGCCGGTGGTAAAAGAGGAGCCGACGGAGGTGGACAACAGAGAAACTGAACAAGAAAGATCAAGTGAAAGCAGTGAGTTTGGAACCGTTTCTTTTATTTAAGGCTGCTATATTCATGTAAGCGTTTTGACGGTCAGATTCTGTAAATTGAACCCAGATCTGATCCAGAACGTGCCATAGTAAGCAAAAAAGATGGTCTTCTCATCCCTGGGACGTCAGGTGTAAATGTGTCTGAGCAAGTGGAGGGATAGCTGCAGTACTTTGTAGCTAACAAGATGTTTTCCTTTTTTTAATGTAACCACTTTCAATACGTATATCCTGCCAACAGACACCCAGAAGAGTCCGGATGTGAGCCAGCGCCACAAACCCGTCTCGGAACGCCAACTTCCCGTGTACCTCGACTGCTTTGTTAGCCTCAACGCACCCCCTTGCATCACTACGCCCAACAGGAGGGAAGCGCAGTGCAACCCCCTGCACACACCTCTGCACGTAAGCCACGAGGCCGGCAAAAGTTTGCCTGCTTACGCAACAGCCCAAAGCTCGCTTAGGAGCACCAAGATACACCACCTGAGGACCGCCGCCTCTGCCAAGCAGATCGGCTGCTTGCAGTGCGGGAAGAGCTTCCGCTGCTACAGCCAGCTTGAAATCCACCAGAGGAGTCACACGGGAGAAAAACCTTTCCGATGCACGCTGTGCGGGAAACGCTATGCCCAAAAGGGCCACTTGTACACGCACCAGCGCACACACACCGGGGAGAAGCCGTACCGCTGTCACATTTGCGGTAAGGGCTTCATCCAGAAGTGCACCCTGGACATGCACAAGCGCACGCACACGGGAGAAAAGCCCTTTGTGTGCATGCAGTGCGGCAAGGGCTTCACAAAGAACTGTAATCTGAAAAAGCACCTCTTGGTGCACCTCGAGTCCGATATGCAACTCTGCGGTGGTAGCGCGCTCACGCTACGTGAGCCGTTTCAGAACGAAACCTCATCCAACACTGTGGCCAGTCACACGTAACTTGCTCAGCTACTTGTCCAAAATAGGAACACTATCGAAATTAAAATGAGGGCTGCAACTAATGCTTAATTTAATAATTCTAAAATATCAATACATAAAAGTAATTGTTATGAATTAACTGATGTGTTAACATGAACAGGACATTCAAAACTGATACTGCAGAGAACACATGATTATATATTATGATTCAGTTCCTGGTTCGGTCCGTAACCTGTCAGAAAATTGGTAAAAATTAGGGCCTGACCGAAATCGATTTTTTTGAGGTTGATTATGACATTTGGGAGAATAAAATTCTGATAACTGATTCATCAGCTGATTATTTAAAAAAAATACAAATTGAGTGAAAAAATGAGGGCTTTCTTATTGCTTAAAACAGTAGAGACATGTATTGTATTTGTGAAACTTTCAAACAGAGTGATAAATTTTAAAACTGCGAAAATTTTGGGGGGGGGCAGTGTTCGAATGCCATTTTGCAACCAAAAAAAACCTGCAAAACTGGGCTGATTTTTGCCAATTATAAAAGAGCTCATATCGGCTCCTTAAATCAGCTGGTCGAATAATCGGTTGGACTTTAGCAAAAATGTTGTTTGTTGTTTTCTGAAGCAAAAGCAAGTTTTCAAATTTTTGGTTTTGAAAGAAAGTCAACCACAACACAAAGATCATCAGTCGAATTTCATGAAAAATAATATTTACTATTGAGAGATTGAAATGAGCAGTTTTAAATTAAAAAAGGTGCTGAAATGGTGAACCAATTATCAAAATATGTATTGATCAACTTGATCATAAATTAGTTTAAATAACTATAAATCATGGCACCTCGAATTGAAATTGTTCCATTCCTTTTATTGTTAATGTGTTGACTCCAAAGCAGACCTTGGCAAAGTGCCGCAGTCTTTATAAAATGAAAATACAGTAGTGCCTTGACTTATGAGTTCAATTCATTCAGTGACCATGCTTGGAACTCAAAACATCCTTCCTCAATGAATAAGATAAGCTTTATTAGTCCCACAGTGGAGGAAATGGCAAATGCCAATAATCCGTTCCAGCGCCAAATTGTCCTCCTCCTGGTGTGTGAAGAATTTCGCAACTAAATGATTCACTAAGCTGCAGTATTATTAGACATTTTTGTAGAGGATAAAGAATATATGCCACAGTATTGCTATATTCTCTCTCGGCCTTTAAATATTTGTTGTGTAGAGCTACAATTACTGCTAGATAATAGTTTCATTAGCCTGTCCGTGGCGTTATGCATTGTGCTTTAGTTAGCATTAAGATAGCAGACTTTTGTAAATTATGTAGTTTGATTAAATACACAAATGTGTAATTCACTTTTTTTATGTTTAAGTGGCAATTAACAGCTTCAAGAAAGACTGTTTTGTTTTGTTTTGTTTTAAGAATTGTTCATAAACTGCTACTTCTAGTCCTCAACTCAAGACAAAATAATTCTAAAAACAGTATCAGAAGAGAACACCTCACATGTTGAGAATTGATGCATGCTTTTGCTATATTTTTTGTGTGTGTGTGGACACTGATTAGTGACACATCATATTATTGTAATGGCGGCACAGTGGCGACTGGTTAGCATGTCCGCCTCACAATGCAGAGGTGCAGGGTTCGATTACGGTTCCAGCCTTCCTGTGTGGAGTTTGCATGTTCTCCCTGTGCCTGCGTGGTTTTTCTCCGGGTATTCCAGTTTCCTCCCACATTCCCAAAACATGCATGGCAGGTTAATGGAACACTCTAAATTGTTCTTACGTGTGATTGTGGGCGTGAATGGTTGTTCATCGATGTGTGCCCTGCAATTGGCTGGCAACCAGCTCAGGGTGTCCCCTGCCTGTTGCCCGAAGACAGCTGGAATCGGCTCCTGCATACCCGCGACCCTTGTGAGGATAAACGGATTAGAAAATGGATGATGGATGTTATTGTACTGGTAATTTTGATGACTGATTACTATTTTGATTTCCATATTTATTTAATAATTATAACAGTTGCATCTTGTTGTAAGAATGCAGTTTGTCTGCTTGAAATAAATACTGATACATTAAATTAATTCTAATCCATTTTTCTAAAATCATTTTCTTGTACTGTGTTATTTTAGTAAGCCACTATTTATTTCTTTACTTTGCTTTTTGATGTCTTAAATTCATTTGTTTGTTAATGCTGGATTTTTGTGAAGCGCGTTGAGTTTGAAATGCGCTATAATTAAATCTGCCCTGTCTAATTTGAACACAAATTGGATTATGTTGGCATTGCTCTTGACAATTGTTCCAGTTTAATTGCATTCTCTCTCTCTCTCTAATTTCTGATGAATAATAGGAATATTTGGTTACTTTATGCCATTTGGAAATCAAACAAAGGCATCTGACTGCGCATTCTTATGTCACATAAAATAAAAGTGGATTGCAATTGTAGAACAAACAAGATTAAAATACACAAAAATGAACTGGCAAGTTTTGAGAATAACTAGAGCATGAACAAAATGGTTGTTTCAAGACCGTTATAATTGTCTTATACAACAACGACAAATGATTTAAACGTTCTAACGTAATCAAAATGATTTAAAGGTCATATCTCGTGCTGCGTTCAAGTACAGCTCGGAAAGGGCACGACCGCATCCCACAATGCACCGCGGAACAGCGACTAACAGCTAGCCTTGGTCCAACACGATTCGCTCGCGGATCTCGTTTTTGTCAAATACATGACGGACTTGGCAAGGCCGAACCGTCGAATTATTTGCACCTAGTCCGCGTTGAGATGATGTGCGACACCACCAACAGAAGCTTCCGAATGCAACTGGCGGCCATCCTGGAGAAGCTAACCAAGACGGCCCTGATGGAGATCGGAAACCTGGCGGACGAGTGCTCGTCGGTGCTCCTCGGCGAGATCTCCTTGCACAAGAGCGAGAACGAGGCCCTGAAGAAGAGATGCTACTCTTTGGAGCTGCAGCTCAGGGCCGCCCGGGAGGCTCACTACTACCCGGGCCACGTCAACAACATCGGGCGAAGGAGTTCCGAAGGTCAGGATGCACATAAAACGGGTGAGTCGCTTTTGGAAAGAGGGGCTTTAAAATGGAGTACGTTTCAAGAGTGCTTTAGTGACATGTTGACGTTGTGATAAAAATGGCAACGGTTTTAATAATAATAATAATAATAACCACCACTGGAAGCAGTTTATAATCAGGTCTACAAGTTTTGATAAAAAAAATCATCACGATGATGTATTTGGAAGCAATTTGACTGCAATTTTAATCCAGATCTGATCCAGATTTTGTTTTGAGCCAATCTATGTTTGTCTATGCCGGGTAAGAATTAATCTGTAAAATTAAATCCAAATCTGACCACATTGTATTTTTGTAATCAATTCTAATTTGTGGTTGATGGGAAAGAATTAAGTATTAAATTGAATCCAGGTATGATAAATCTTGTGTGTTTGGAAGCAGTTCAATTTGTGTAGGAAGGGTTATTTGTGTTTAATGTAGATGTAGTCCACATTATATATTTGAATCTAATTTGTGATGTGTGAATCCTGCATTAGTGGTCTTTGGCGGGGAAAGTATTTTATTTTATTTTTTTTAATGCAGATGTGATCCAGAGTTTGCATAAGCAAGTATGTTTGAATGTGTGTATGCAGGACCCGTCACAAAAAATGCTGTATGGATCTGATCTTATCTATGTTGTGTCTTTAGAATCATTAAAATAATTTAAAAATTGTCTATGCCTGTTTAAAATTTGCAAGAATAATAAAACTTGTTTGTAAAATGTGTTTTTCGGAGCATGTTGAATATGTGTAGGCAGATTCAGATGCTATTCACTTTTATCCATTCCTGATAGATTGTACATGTGTAAACAAGTTTAGCATGTCATTTTCATTCATACCTTGATTTGTGCAGCCCTCCACCACCAGCAGCAGCGACAGCAGCAAACAGCCGCTCCCGCCATCGATGGCGTATTTGGGAAGGATTGGTGCATGGATCTATGGAGGGAAGACAAAAGAGCCTCCACTCAAAGGAAAGAGGCAGCCGAGCCCATTGCTATGCCAAGCATGGGAACGCAGGTAAATCTGCGCGGTGCTATAAAAGCTCTTGTCACATTTAGCTTGTAACTTCTTTTCAAGGCAATTCATATGGTTGTAACATTTTGGCAGGAGTTAGATATCATAGATGCAGAACCCGAACTCATCTTCATCAAGGAGGAAATGTACGACGATCATCCGCTCGGGCAGCAGATGCAGTTGACAGATAACAGGAAAGGTAAAACATATTTTGTACATTTTAAAATGTCAGAGTCTCACCACAAAACGAAGGAGGGAAAAAAACAGCTTGTGTGCTCTTCCTACTTACAGTGTGTAGTGTACTCCAAATGACCAAAACAGCATCGCACACCACAGGATAATCATTCTGGATTGTTATTGTAGACATATGCTACGTAATCAGGCTGTTCCTGATTTTGATTGGACGGGATGGAGGGAAAATCTCTTTTAGCACACCAAATACCACATGATAATCGCAAAGCATAATATTTTAGACAAATCCGATTATCTGGCTTTTGCTCATTTTGATCAGGTGGGAGTTGGGGTAGCTCTCGGTTTCAAAAAGGTTGGTGACCTCTGTTTTAGAGACATCTTGCAATCAGGTCTTTGCTCATTTTCATCTAAAGGAGTTAAGAATCACTGTTAACACACCCCACACCACATGATCATCTTTCAGGACAATCTTTTAGAGACAGCCGAGAAGGCTTTATTAGCTGATTGTGTTCAGTAAAATCACTCCAGACACAGCCCATACATACCACAAGATAATCACCCACGACGGTCTTTTAGAGTCATGTGATAATCGGACCCCTTTGCATATCAGAAAGTGAGAAATATTACTCCTTATAAACTCCGTACAACAGGATAATCCACTCAAGACAATCTTGCGGAGACATCCGGTAATCGACCCTTTGCTGACTTTGATCACACGGGAGTAAAAATGCTCAAAACCGGTCCGATAATCGGTATGTGTGTACCTTTCTTTAGACAACCCCCACCCCACAACCACTAACCTGAGTATTCCATGGAGGTAATAGTTTGTGTATCGTGCAGAGGTCGGGCTGCTGGACGCTGAGCTCCACCGCTCCGTAAACGAGCTCCAGCTCCACTCGGAGGTTCTGAACAGCTTCCCGTTGATGCCTGACGGCCAAGCCCAGCGCACGCAGCCCAACATCATGGACAAGCTGATCGAGGACGCCACAATGAGCACGCTGCTGGACGCCACGGGCGCTCCCGCGTCGGCCACCGCCGCCGACTACGTAAACTACGCCGGCAACATCCACGGGGGTGCCGGCAAACAGCTTGCTCTCCTCCCTGCCAAACCCATGAGACCCAGAAAGCACTTCCAATGTCTCTTCTGCGGCAAAGTATTCAACTACCTGAGCAGCCTGAAGGTGCACGTGAGACGGCACTCGGGGGAGAAGCCCTTCAGCTGCACGGTGTGCGGCAAACGCTTCGCCCAGAAGACATACCTGAAGCTTCACCAGCGTGTGCACTCCGGGGAGAAGCCATACAGCTGTCCCAACTGCGGACGCAGTTTCTCCCAGAAGAGCTCGCTGAACATTCACTTTCGAACGCACACGGGCGAGAAGCCGTACAGCTGCGTGGACTGCGGGAAATGTTACGCCTACAAGTACGGTTTGAACCACCATCAGTGTTTCACGCACATGAAGACCACCTAAATGGGAAGCGCCCATTGGGCTCTCACAAGTGGCAGCATGTTATTTGATTCTCAGCATTGTACCATTTCTTCACCCTAAAACACTTGGGTCATATATAACCCAATTGTGAGTCAAAAAGGGACCGACTGCCTCCTGGGTCAAATGGATTCAACTTTTTGGGTTATTCATCTAACCCACAAATTTGGGTCAAATGAATAACCCACCAAATTGTTTGTCAAATAAATGACCCAAAAATTGTTTTGCGGGTTATTCAATTGGACCCAACTTTTTGGGATTAAATAGATGACCCACAGAGTTGGGTCAAATAAATAACCCAAAAACTGACCCAGGTGGAGTCGGTCCCTGTTAGGCCCATTATTGGATTATGTTTTTAGTGTTTGCAGTGTGGGCGTAATACTCCTTTGTACTTAATTAACTTTGTGCTAAATGAAGCTTGAGAAACAGTTTAAATGTCACGAAAGAAACAAGTGGAGAAAGTGTTAAAGTTTTGTGCTCTAAAGGGGAAGTCAAGTCAGAAATGTTCGTTTTATTGCGTTTGCGTGTATGAAATCTCAGGCGGCGGCCATTTTGCATTGTACCGCCACTTGCTGTCAACTGAAAATGACATCACAGTGCCTAAGGGGTCACATGACCAAACACCGATAACAACTATGATGTCATTTTCAGTCGACAGCCTGTGGCAAAATGGCCGCCCTTTGAAATGGATAAAAAGTGGGTGCATTTCTCTGCTTAAAATTCACATTCCACAAACGCAAAATTAATCAGTATGCCGTGTTTAGACTGGTGGGGCCGCATAGAACGTATTGTGAAGAAAATGTTTGACTTCCCCTTTAACTTCTTTGATTTGCCTTTGAGAAGGTTTACTTATTTTTTGGAATGCAGGAGAAAAATCCACGCAGGACGCATCGCGGTCATCTTACAATAGATCGACCTTGCAGTTCTGCGTAGAATTTCTCTGTTTTATGGCACTTAGTGTGAATACCTCATTGAAACGCTGACCTCATCCGTATCGCATGTTGTCATGTTTGCTGTGCATAAATACCTCCTTCAAGGCCAGAGTCAACGGTCTAATCAAGTCAAAGTTGGAATACTGTAATCCGTTAATGTGCCGATGTGTAGCGTACACCTTCAACTACCTCATCACAACAGTCAATGTAGACTTTTTTTTTAAAACTACACAGTGTGCCCTTTCATTTCAAAAACCTCTTTGACTATATGAGGAACATTATAGGTTTCAAAGATTTTCAAAATATGGGTGATCGTTGTTTTCCCCCCTTCCTATTGATTATAGTGTTGTTTCCTTTGTGGGTGGAATGTAGCAACTCGCAGCACTGATTTGCCATCGTTGCTCGGTAATCAAAATGATTTACATCACAACGGTGTGGTTGAACATGCTGAAATAATAAAACAGAAAAAAAGAATATATGGGCACAATGGAGATACAGGTGTCAAAGACCGTAGTTGAATTCAGAAAGTGAAACTTGGGTTATATACATTCGCTACACACTGTTGTTGATATTTTTGTATTATTGAATGAACGCACCAAACTCAGCATTTCAAGCTATTAGAACACTTCGTTCAAACGATTTGATTAGAATAGAAATGAGAAGTCGAGTGTAAAATATTTTTCTGTTCAATGAATGGACTGAATGTGAGTTTCACTTTCTGAATTGAACGAGTGAATGAAATGAAATACCAGATTCAAATTTAGTGGTATGCGCAGCACGCCTGTGAAGAAATATTCAAGGTCCCAGGGGCCATTTTTGTTTGATAAACATGCTAAAACCTGTCTAATAGATGTCAGAAAAGACAAATGACACTATGAAAAAAAAAAAGCCTGTTTGTCCCCCCCCCCCGTAAAAGTTCCAATTTTGCTTGTTGTGTTTGCCAAAAGAAATTACAGATTTGCTTCGTGCTTGCATGTCCTAACAAAACCGCCCTCCAACCCCAAATGTTTAAAGTATGTGCAACGTGCATTCTTTAATTCAGAACAAACTCGCACACTCGGGCGGTATTTTTGAGGGATGTTTTATTTAATAATAAACTTCTTGACTCCCGAGTGAAGGCTGATGACTATCATGAAGAAGAAAAGCAATCTATTACAATTTTAAAGCTGCAAACAAAACCACTTAAGATCGGTGTAATGTTATATATGCGAGAACAGCACACTTTTCACCCGCTTTTTACACCCATGTCAGATTTGACAGAGCTTGTCCTGGCTTTACCAAGCCGCTGAATTCTTTTCACTGTCATGTTTTTCCCCCCCATGGGAGTACAGTACAAAGTTAGCTGGAGCTTCCTGCAGCAGATTTTGGCAATTTACAGTTTTCACGTGAATGTTTTTGGAATGTGGCAGCTCAGTGATCCCCTCCTGTTCGCTACTCATCAGTTCACCATCCATCCATTTTCCGATCCGCTTTATCCTCACAAGTGTGGCCGGGGGGTGCCGGAGCCCATCCCAGCTGTCTTCGGGCAGTAGGCGGGGGACACCCTGAACCGGTTGCCAGCCAATCGCAGGGCACACAAAGACGAACAACCATCCGCGCTCACACTCACACCTAGGGGCAATTTAGAGTGTTCAATCAGCCTGTCATGCATGTTTTTGGAATATGGGAGGAAACCGGAGTACCCGGAGAAAACCCACGCAGGCCCGGGGAGAACATGAAAACTCCACACAGGAAGGCCAGAGCCGGGATCGAACCCACGACCTCTGTACTGTGAGGTCGACGCGCTAACCACTGGATAACCGGGCCGCCTTCATCAATTCACCATTCACTGAAAAAAACACCCAAACTTTTGCTAGTTTGTGCTCTTTCTGAAACACCTTCATATGCCACAAGATGGCCCCCGAAGCTCTGTCTAAAAGAAAACTGGCGCTTCAGCGCCATCTTGACACACCGTAGCTATCGGCTTGTGGCATATGTATGCCGTTCTAATCCTCTAGCCTCAAAACGCTGAGGCGGATGTACTAACCGCTCAGCTTCTATACAAACGAAAAGCAAATGTTCATATAACGTCTCCCCCCCCCCCCCCCCCCCCCCACACACACACCCCGCCCTTAAATGGTACGCCTCTTGTGTTTCAGCAAATGACGTAGGAGTTGCGTCTTGGCCTCGAACTTCATTCCGCATTCGCCGCAGCCGACGTGCGTTCGGATGAGGTGACTCCTCATGCTGCCCTTCTGGGCGAACCTCTGCCCGCAAAAGCGACACACGAAACGTTTATCCCCCGTGTGCACCACCATGTGCGTCCGGAGGGCCGACTGGCTGGCCCAAGTCTTCCCGCACAGGCGGCACTTATTGGGGGCCACTTCGCACTTGTGGTGCTTCAACTTGGCCTTGGTCTCAAATTGCTCCTTGCACACGTCGCACCAGTAGGGCTGGTGGGCTCTTTGGTGTACCATCAGGGTGTTGGGGTTGTAGAATACAATGTTGCATCGTAAACAAATGTATTTTTTCCCACCGCTGCTTGAGCTTGTTTGCACTGTTAATTTGCTCTGACCGTCTTCGACAACATATTCGAAACATCCGTCCTCCGGACTGTCACTCAACTGAATGGCTTGTTCTCCGGTCCCATCGTTCTCATAAAAATGATTCTTACTGTCTGCGTCCATTGAGATGTCCACCGGCCACGCTGGCATTTGCTCGACTTCCTCTGAGAAGAGTTCTTCGTCGTCTGTTGGAACACAAAACGGAAAGTCTGACGGAAACAGTCATTAACCCGCGTTTTGAAAGCACAAACAGAACAGCTGAAATTTATCAGGGGGAGAAAAATCAGATGCACTTTGTACGCCACTTGTGCAACCACATTATCTCAGTTATTCATTTTTGTTAGCCCAAGCAAAAGGATTTCATTTTTATCAATTTAACTGTGTGGGGCTCAAACTTTAAACATTTTATCTTAAGTCTTTTTTTTTACATAATAAAAACCCAGCATTTGAAAAGGGGTGTGTAGACTTTATGGCCAATGTACAGGATACTGAAATCATGACATTTTGCAGGTAAAAATGCCAAATATTTCTTCCCTTACAAGGGAGTTTGTGGTTTAAAAAAACAAAATACCTTTAGCCAAATATGTTAAAGAGTGTCATTAAAATGATCTTTAGAAAAATCAGCCCCCTCTGCCCCTATCTTATACCTCAATTTTTATTTTAATGCCTTTCAGAGCCTGTTGTGGCCGAAGGCGTGTCTGAAAGTGTGTGCAAGCACACCGGCTAACGTCGGCTTGTCATACATGTTCAAGAGGAGCGTGGCTTTGATCGGGGACGCAAGTTGCGGGGGCAGGCAGGAGTCAAGTGAGGCTACATTCAAATATAGCCAGCGGCTTGTCAACGGCAAACTCCCCTTTTAACAACATTTTGTGTCAAGGCAAGTTATCACAAAACATGCGGTTTGGAAACTGTTACTAAGTTTATTTTTGGAGCCAGTTGAACAACTTACAATGACGATTGTACACAGTACATACACTGCATTAAAAAGAACTAAGGATTTGTGATATTTAACCACATATCCACCACCGCACGGCACAATCCACTTGAATTATTCCGGTATGAGTTCCAAATGAAAGACGTTAAAAAAAAAAGGCATCGTTGACGGAGGACGACTGGACGAGTTTCTGTCTGACCAGTTCAGCCTGCTTCCGTCAAAGCCTCGCGGGCGTCTTCCAGGTAAATCTGGATGTGCTGTTCGTGCATTTCCTCTGTCTCCCAAGCCGCCGTCGACAACTCTTCCAGCGTGTCGGTGACGTCAGCGTATAACCCTTTTCCGTTTTCTGGAATACATCCGGTGAGGGGGCCATCCGGGTCAAAGGTCGTGTCATTGTCGAGTTCCTTGACAGTTGAGGTCAGGAGCTGGTTGTTTTTTTCCGCTGCCGCAGCTGGAGCCCAAACTCTCCTCTGAGAAGTGACACAAAGTATGTGTTATGTACCAGGACATCCAAAGTAAATACTTGCAGTTAATTTTTAATATGCAGTAGAATAGATGTTGACGAACATTTTACACCAAGTACCACCTTTAAAAAATATTTAGCTTGTCAATGATCAAAAAAGCAGGACTAAAACTTCCAAAATAAAGCAGAGGTTTTATTAAAAAAAAAATCTTATTGTAAGCCGCTTTTGACATGCATTGCACATAAAATAGAAATCATCATTGTACCTAACTGACTGTTAAAAAAATTCTAAAAGAATGAATACAAATGTTTTATACGTAAAAGTTAGACATAACTGAACTGGACTTACTTTTCTGAAATAGAAAAAAAAAAGTTTCGGCCACGGCGATGTTAAGCACCATTTGAACATTTAATTCAGTGAGTCTTTCGAATAGCACTAAAATCACCGCAGTACAATTTGAGAGTTCATTTTCAGGAAAAAATATACACCAAACGTACGCAAACGTGCCTCTGCCCTGTCCCGTACAATATAGCTATAATAATAATAATAAAAGAATACGCACCGAAAAGTGACCTACGTGTAGTCTTGATGTGAAGCAAATCGCCTCCCGAGCGGACAACCCATCACCAAAATTAGGGTGAACACAAGACTCAAAAGTGTTTACATTTTGCTGGTGACCTAACTAGCGTGAAACTTATTTTAGATTTTACAGGCGGCAATTCAATTTCCACTATTTCCTAAGAGAGAAAGAAATAGCACGTTGACCGGGTTCCCGTAATACTGACATGGAGTGACAGGACAAATTCCTCCCCTCGCTAAAATGGAAAGAATCCACATTAAAGCACTTGAACAAGCTCGCATTCGGCAAAACTTACCAACGGATTCCATCATGGCCTCCAGCAGAGTGGCTGTGTCCACGCCTTGCTTGTTGACCGCCGGCCTATGACCGTATACGGCGTCCACCAATTCGAACCACCTCCACGCTTTGGGCCTGTTCTGCTTTTTGATTTTGCGGTACTCGCAGCGCAGCTTCTTACACTTCATCTGGCACTGGCCGCACGTCCGCTGGAAGCCCTCGGCGGCCATCCGCTGCGAGACCAGCTGGAAAACCCTCCTGTTCCGAACCGCGCCAACGAGCTCCCGCTGCACCTCCTCCTCGGCGAGGATACCGAGGAAGGTCTGCACTTCCTGGAAAGTCCAGGGTGTGCTGTTGTGTGCTGATGTTATCCAAAAAAAGGCAACATAAACAATTTTTAATCGTTTCTCCGTTCATGTATTTTTTTTTTTTTTAACAGATTCTTGTTGCCGTAAAGAACTGTTGAGTCTCAGTCAAATGACTAAAGGCTTTCACAACTTTTCAAGATCAACAATGGGGATCAGTTACTTGATTTTATTATTATTATTCATTCATTCATTCATTTTCCGATCCGCTTATCCTCACAAGGGTCGCGGGGGGTGCTGGAGCCTATCCCAGCCATCTTCGGGCAGTAGACGGGGGACACCCTGAACCGGTTGCCAGCCAATCGCAGGGCACACACAGATGAACAACCATCGGCGCTCACACTCACACCTAGGGACAATTTAGAGTGTTCACTCAGCCTGCCGTGCATGTTTTTGGAATCTGGGAGGAAACCGGAGTACCCGGAGAAAACCCACGCAGGCCCGGGAAGAACATGCAAACTCCACAAAGGAAGGTCGGAGCCGGGATCGAACCCACGACCTCTGCACTGGGAGGTTGACGCGCTAACCACTGGACCAGGGCCACCATTATTATATATATATTTTTATTTTTTGATGGGATGGGAGAATTTTGCTCTGAAAGTCCCAAACTCGTCGTCCTGCGCCGGAGAGGTGGTCTGCGTGGATGTATGCTGGTGCCAGACAGAAATAGAAGAGCAAATTGTTGTTGCAAGTCTAAATGTCTCAAAGGCTGTGTGGATGCCATGTGGTACCATGCTGCCTCTCAAAGATCTACCTTGGTACTACAACAAGCATCAGGCGAGTTTTTGTCTGCGGAGATGTGGTTTCGGGTGAGGTGTGCTGTGTTGCTCATCAAATACACCACACGCCATAAGAGCAGTAAGAATATACCCGTTGATGTCCCCGCCCCCCAAACCCCCCCCATCACATATGATGTCGCTCACATTTCAAACAAGTCTACGTAAAAGTTAAGCATCGCTATTCGCGTATGCCATTCAAGACAGTGGATTCACTTACTTTCTTGACTGAGTGTTTCCTGGGAGAAGCTGCCAGCAGTGCCCTCCAAATAATCTTCGACTTTGACTAGAATCACATCGGAATTCTCCGATTCTCCGGTCAGCACAACCTGCGAAATGGAACAAGTAGAATAAAAATGCCTTTTTTTTCCTTTTTTTAAATTCCAAATTCTGATACACCTGATTATGTACTGTCTGGTTTAATTGCATTCACTCCATTATACTACGGCCAAGTGGGGTTCCCCATCTGCGTCGTGAGTACCGTGGCAAAGTTTTGGACAGCTTAAAAATCTCACCTCGCCTGCCACGTTTGACCATCGATACTTTCGCTGTACATAAAATGTGCGAATCTTTCTGAACCGGTCAACATTTATTACATTAACACACGGCTAATTGCCTTACCTGGGAGAGTTCATGATTGTGGCAATTTGCAGGACTGATGTCTTTTATGTAAAGCTTCCTTCCATCAGGTGTAACTCTCACTTTGATGGTGAATGGACAACGTTTCAAATCAGGGCTAAGAATGAATGTAAATTAATAAGATATTGGTAAGTGACACCGTGTTTCCAGTTTCATAGATCCAAAGAGCAAAACACTATCAATAATTCTGATCTGTTACAGGGTCTTATGTCCGTGGTAGTAATTGTACAAACTTACCCTTTGCTGCCATGGGCACATGCAAAGTCCAGCTCGGCGAACACTAAATCGTCACTGTAGGATTTTTTCCTCGCCCGCTTTTTGGCATTCTCTACGGTTCTGGAGCTACGCTTGTAAAGCTCCACAAAATTGGACCTCTGCCATCTTTCTATGGCCTCCGAGAAAGACTCAAAACTAAAAAACTCAGCACCTTTCTCCAAATCCTGCGCTTCGCCCGGAGAGAAACAGTCCAGAGGCATTGAAGTCATCATATCCTGCAGAGGGAAAAAAAACAACATATTTACAGCATGAATATACACAGTATAACAGACACACTGAATATTCGAAACTCACAGCATCTACTTGCTGAGCATCAACCTTCTGACCAGCACGGAATTTGTCTTTCCACAAATTAAGGCACCAGTCCTGTCCAAAGACACCCTCAATGACAGGAGACACAGACTCTGGGGGGAAAAAAAAGCAGACAGAATGGATTAAATCAAACAGTCGAGGCAGTTGAGGAAAACGTGGCTGTTTCAGCCATCCATGTTATGGATTACACAAAAGTTTATTTCAAGACAAAAAGAATTTTAACACTGTTCTGGCAAAATAATGATTTAGTTACAATGAAACCCAAAGACATTTTATTGTCACCTTTTTAAAAAAAGGCCAAAAAGTAAAACGCACAGTGCTATCGGGGTAACGACTAAAGCAGGGTACACTACGTTGCAGATATTTTGGGGGAATAGAATGTATCGTATTGTATGTTTATCACAAAAATCACTACTATCTAGCGGAAATCTGCAGTTAGAAATACTTCTATGGAGTAGAGGTATTGTCCATTTTTTTTAACATTTGCGTCCACTTTTTTTTAACATTTGCGTTAATACTAATCATTGTTATAGATTAATTACTTGTATATCATGCATACCATTCCTTCCAATCCAATGCCATCCAATACAGAGTGTGTTGCATGATGCTGTGTCCAGGGAATGTACATGTAAACAAACGAGCATTTATTTACCGTTAACGTCATCATCTGTCTGGATGGCGACGGTACGGTGACTCCGGGGAAGCCCGTTCACGTCGCTCCTGGCCGCCGTCAGCTCGCACTCCAGAGTGTCAACCTTTTCTGTCAGCGCCGAGTTGAGCGTCTTGAGCCGTGATAACTCCAAACGCAGCTCCACCGTGTCCTCATCCACCGCCTTGCATAGCTCGGCCATGGCGGATTCGGCCATCGACTCCATGATGGAGGAAAGCTTGGAATGAAGAGATATGTTGATCTCCATCGCTTTGGAAAGCGTGTGTGCTTCTGAGAACGTCTCTGTTTGTTGGGACAAAAAGTATCTTGGTCTGAAAAGTAAAATTGTTTTCGGGTAAAAAAAAAAAAAAAACGCGAGTGGATGTGACAATGAGGAAGGAAGCTCTCTTCCCTCAAGTCAAGCGGAACCAATTGGGCTAGAGTAGCTATGACGTAAATGACGTAGCCCTCTTTTTCTTCTTCGCTGTATTTGTTGACGGTTAGCAAATGCATTACCGCCACTGGATTGTGGAACGGTGTATAATGCAAGACAAAATAAAATAAATTAAGTCTTAATTTTTTTTATTTATTCATTTGCTCTATTTCGGTAAAATTAATAAGCAAGCAAATATAAGTATTAATAAATTCTGTTTGCTACACGGTTTTATGACCTATTTCTTTCCGCCGGAAGCAACCGGTCAGCTGCTTCGCATTTACACGCCGCTTCCTGGTTCTCCTAACGGCTCGTTTCCCGTGACAGGTTCTCCTAAATGCAGCCTTTTTCTCGCGGTTTCCCCTAACCTTCAACGGGAATACAACATATACCAAGACTTTTGTTGGGACCTACGCTGCCATCATGAACACGGAGAAGGACTTTACTCCGTTGACGCCCAACATCGTCCGGGCTCTCAATGATAAACTGTACGAGAAGAGGAAAGTGGCGGCCCTGGAAATCGAGAAGCTGGTGCGCGAGTTCGTGGCTCAGAACAACTCCACTCAGATCCGTCACGTCATCCAGATCCTGGCCTCGGAGTTCGCGCTGTCTCAGCACCCGCACAGCCGCAAGGGAGGACTCATCGGCCTGGCCGCGTGCTCCATCGCGCTGGGCAAGGAGTCTGGTCTGTATCTGAAGGAGCTTATCGAGCCGGTGCTCACTTGTTTTAACGACTCCGACAGCCGCCTGCGTTATTACGCCTGCGAGGCTCTCTATAATATAGTCAAGGTGGCCAGGGGAGCCGTGCTGCCCCACTTTAACCTCCTTTTTGATGGACTGAGCAAGCTTGCAGCTGATCCGGACCCCAATGTCAAAAGCGGCTCAGAACTTTTGGACCGACTCCTGAAGGACATTGTGACTGAAAGCAACAAGTTCGACCTCGTCGCATTCGTCCCTCTACTAAGAGAGCGCATTTATTCCAATAACCAGTACGCCCGGCAGTTTATCATCTCCTGGATCCATGTCCTGGAGTCCGTACCTGACATCAACCTGCTGCACTACCTCCCCGAGATCCTGGACGGCCTCTTCCAAATCCTGGGGGACAACAGCAAGGAGATCCGCCGGATGTGCGAGGTGGTGCTTGGCGAGTTCCTGAAGGAGATCAAGAAGACGCCGTCCAGCGTGAAGTTCGCTGAGATGGCTAACATCCTGGTCATCCATTGCCAGGTGGCGGATGAGACCAAGGTAACCAACGACCTCATCCAGCTAACCGCCATGACGTGGATGAGGGAGTTCATCCAGCTGGCGGGCCGCGCAGTGCTGCCTTACTCGTCGGGGATCCTCACCGCCGTACTGCCGTGCCTCTCCTACGACGACCGCAAGAAGAACACCAAGGAGGCGGCGAGCGCCTGCAACTACAGTTTGATGAAGCTCGTCACTCCTGAGGATGACGATGACGACGACGAAGAGGAGAAAAGCGGAAGCGCCGAGTCACCGTCGAGAGAAGACAAGGTGGACGCTGGCGATGGCGGCGACATGCTGAACTCCTCGCAGGAAGCGGCGGGCTTCAGCAACATCAGCTTCTTTGCCCCGGCGAGCACCGATCGATCTCAGGTGACTCTGGACATGGACGGTATCGTGCAGGTGCTAGACCGCCACCTCCACGATGGCTCCACGGGCATGATGACGCGCATCGCTGTGCTCAAGTGGCTCTACCACCTCTACATCAAGACGCCGCGCAAGATGTTCCGTCACACAGACAGCCTCTTCCCCATGCTGCTCAAGACCCTCTCGGACGAGTCAGACGAGGTCATCCTCAAAGATCTGGAGGTGCTGGCCGAGATCGCCTCGTCGCCGGCCGGGCAGACGGATCCGGCGGCGGCATGCGACGGGCTCGACAGCAGGCCGGCGCTCAAGGTGCCGGACAAGGTGGGCAAGACCGGGGTCGCCGAATCCTCGCCGTCCACCCCGAGCATGAACTCCTACTTTTACAAGTTCATGATCAACCTCCTGAAACGCTTCAGCGCCGAGAGAAAGCTGCTGGAAAGCCGAGGGGCGTTCATCATCCGCCAGCTCTGTCTGCTCCTCCATGCCGAGAACATCTTCCATTCCATGGCGGACATCCTCCTCAAGGAGGAGGACCTGAAATTCGCCTCCACCATGGTGCAGACGCTCAACACCATCCTGCTCACGTCCGCCGAGCTCTTCCAGCTGCGCAACCAGCTGAAAGACCTCCGCACAGCCGAGAGCTGCGCGCTCTTCTGCTGCCTCTACCGCTCGTGGTGCCACAACCCCGTCGCCACCGTTTCGCTCTGCTTCCTCACGCAGAACTACAAACATGCCTACGACCTCATCCAGAAGTTCGGCGGGCTGGAGGTGACGGTGGACTTCCTGATGGAGGTGGACAAACTGGTGCAGTTGGTGGAGAGTCCCATTTTTACCTACTTGCGCCTTCAGCTGCTGGACGTGGAGAGCAACCCGTACTTGATCAAGGCGCTGTACGGGCTGCTGATGCTTCTGCCACAGAGCCAGGCCTTCCAGCTGCTCTCGCACCGCCTGCAGTGCGTCCCCAACCCGGAGCTGATGCGGACGGTGGACGGGACGAAGCGCGCCGACGCCAAGGAGCGCGAGGCAGAACGCAAGCGCGCCCCGCACGCCAACGTGGACTATGGCGAGCTGCTGCGCCACTTCGACTGCGTGCAAGGCAAACACCTGGAGGTGCGGCACCAGCGCTCAGGGCGCGTGGCCGAGCTGCCCGACAGGAAACTGATGTGAGGCTGCACCATGCTGAAAACAAAAAATGGATTATTGGAACCAAATATGATATTATGAAGCTTGTACATACACTGGCATGACGAGAATGTTCAATTCACCCATTTTCTTTGTACTCGTGAGTGTCGCGGGACAATTGCGAGTCTCGATTTCCGTTTTGGGGATGAAGGGGAGAACGTGTAAATTCAACACAGGAAAGCCCGGGGGCAGGGATTTGAACCTCGAACCTCAGAATTGCGATGCAGACATGCTATCACTATTACACTGTGCTGTTGTGAGAATTTTATGTTAAAAAAATGAGTACTGTCTGGTCACACTGGTTACTTTTTTTTTTTTTAATGAAGAAAAAAATGTCACTGATACCAACATCATGTATTTTCATTGAAGGGAGGATTAGGGCCACAGTGAAAAAAAAAAATTATACTGCAAGATTCAAGTCGTGATCTTCAGAGAATAAAGTTGCATATTTGAGACAAAAAAAATACTTTTTTGATTAAAGCCGCAGTGTAACAGGAATAAAGTTTTGGAGATAAAAGGTTGTTTATTTTTGATATTAGTTGTAATGTAGTGAGAATATAGTTGGATTGTTTTATCATTTTTTATTTTATTTATGTACACCATTTTGCTTCAGTTGTAGTGTTGTTTTTTTCAGTGCTCTCGAAAAAGTTGAGTTTAGCTCGGCATAAATATATTACATACATGGGCGGATTTTGAAATTCAAAAGTGCTTTTTTTTCCATCAAACATCATTATTTATTCGTGTGATATTATGAACAAATTCCTTGAAAATATTAATTTATTCTAATACTACAACTTTGATCTCCAAAATAGACAACTTCATTCTCATGAGATTACAACTTAATATAATTTTTATTCTTTTCATTTTGGCCCTAACACGTCTTTGTCATTTTACGATCAGTGTTGTTATTTTTTATTTTATTTTATTTTTTTACGACTCTAAATGTCATACAGAAAACATTTGCTGGCATTTAATGAACCATCAATAATTCATTTATCAATATGTTTGTTATCGTGCTTTGGAGTGCCTTAATATTTGAAACACCGCTGCTGTTTGTGAATGAAGACGTTGACAACTGGCAGAACACAATCATGTGTTTTCCTGTCAGGAGGTACAAAATATGTATATATATTGTTTTCTTCCTCTTAAATTAATTTGTTCCCTTTATTTCAAACAAAGCTAATACACATTCCATTATCAAGTCGTCCGCTTTGGTTACTCAATGCGCACAATGATGATTTATTGTCATGTGAGTCACAAACAAAGCGTCACATGTGCGGAGCTGTGAGCCAGCTTGACTTTTCCAGTTAAGACGAGGCATATATTCTTGGTATGCCTTTTCTTCCTATTATATAAATATACACACGCACACACTGCTGTCTTTATATTTACAGCTGGCATTTACAGTCACTGTTTGTCTTTTTAATCCTAATATACTGTATTTCTTGGATCATTGCACCGCTTTTGTCGTCATTCGTGCGTAAAGTCGTCAATAAAGCTGGACCCCGTGTGATGACAGATGTGCTCTTTCTTCTTAAACAAATAGCAAATAGAACTCTGGGAAGACAGGTCGAACCAGTTCTGATGTCATCTTTTTTCCGTTACTGTACATCCAGCCCCCAAACACGATGTTCATTATGTTCGAATGAATTTAACACCAGACTAGCGCAGTGTTTATTAATCCCAAAACAGGAATGGCTAACACTTTAATGCTATGGGGTGTTTATTATGTCAGTGCTTATGCAGTACATACAAATAAGAAGTCTAGACACCCCTGTTCAAATGCTAGGTTTTACTTTAAAAATGTTTTCCCACGTTTTGGGGAGATTTCAAGTGTGTTTTTGCAAATATCATTTTGGCCATCATTCAAAAAGGTATAACATAGCTCATCACCAGAAGAACAACACACCTACAGGGAAGCATGCTGGTGGCAGCATTATTCTCTGGGGCTATTTTTCTTTTCTGCAACTGTGGACTTACACAAGGTGAAAGGAATTATCAACAGTTGGAAATATTAGTGTTAGCACAAAGGCTTAAGTCGGGCATCTTCTACTGTAGAAAGCAAAAAAAAAAAAGCCTACTAGAACATCAGAACTTTATTTGGGCTTACTCAGGGGCACTTTAATTGGTGGCTGGTGTTTGCTGACTCCCATATAACTTGAGTTTGAATATTAATTCAGTACACCAACATCCCCACTTATCAGTGGGTGTGCACACTTTTGCAACTGCATCTTAGGTGTCAATTTTTACTCTCCTTCTCGAAAAGAGTTGTATGAGTGATCAGTCATATTAAAGATGATTTTTTTCATCACGGGTTCAACTGCCTTAATGTGACCCCCGCGACTAAATATGGTCCTTCGTTCTATTTAAAGGACGAGCGCATCCAACACACATGAATGCATGTTAACTGGTCGACCACATGGGGACGTACTGCGCACAGCAAACCCCAGCATGTACAGTACCGCACGTGTGCGTGTGTATGCCGGGCATATGTTGACTCCCATCAGTTAGCAGCTCCACTACATTAGCTCTGAACTTCTGCCCCGTCACCCGTGCAGCAAGACGACAAACGACTAATTTGGTCTGCCGGGATGAGTGCAGATGAAGCTTTCACCGGCAGAATGCACTTGAAGTAGCCCCATTGGACACATGCAGCTTGGAAGGCTTCCATTACTTGAGTGTCATCATACAGGAATGCGTTGGCATCGATGTAGCCCCAATTAAAAAAAAAAAACAGCGCAGGACCTAAAATTAGGACTAAATAGCTTAGAGACGACACCGTACATTGTTTTTGCTTCACCTGTCTGGTTTTAAAGCAGTCGGCGAGTCCTTAAATAGCACTTTGTATGTTGTACAATCCGTTAGTGGTAGTGCGATTGTATCCCCAACTGAGCTTCCTATCTGCACATGTTTGCGTCCTATTTTAGCAAGTGCGTCAGTTCTGGTAATTTGCTTGCGCAACAAAATACTGGATTACGGTTCGGGTAGGGAAAGAGATGCATGAACGAATTTGAGCCAAGACAAGAATCCCCAGTTCTGATTGATATTTTCCCAGTGGTCATAACTTAAGAATATGGTTATTTGTTGTTGTAGTTTTAAAGGGGAGGAGAACAGCACTGCACAATACTTATAGATGTTTATCATATTTTGTGGATGTTCATTTACAGTGGATACAAAAAGTCTGCACACCCTATTCGAATGCCATGTTTTTGTGATGTACAAAAAAAAGACAGAGAGAAATCATTTGCCAGTGGAGGGAATTATGAACAGTTCACAGAAGTGAGTATTGGTTAGGTTAGTAAAATCTATGATTTTCAAATCAGAAATTATTTTTCTTCTGTTTTTCAAATTTTCCACATTACAATAGTAGATTTGTCATTATTTTTTAAATAATGAAAAAAAGAATTCCCGCCCATTATAATTGCTAAAATGGATAAAAATGACTCATTTAAATGACTTTCATTATTATAAACTGTATATATGCACCGGTTGTACATTTTATCCACTGGTAAATATGAAATTATAAATATGGTTAATTATTGTTGTAAAACAAGATATGTTTACCGTATTTACTGTATTTCTCTGTCTTGACGGCACCCTATGTGTCTCGCTGGCTTATGTCACGCAAATGGATTTATTGCGTGCGCACTGGGCGCCTACATTTCTGTGTGTGTATGTGTGTGTGTGTGTGTGTGTGTGTGTGTGTGTGTGTGTGTGTCCCTCTCCCTCTGTTATGATGATTGTCATTGGCTCGCTTCAGCTGTGAATCAGCGTAAAACTTGAAAGATGGCATGTGATTGGTTGGCCCGAGCTGTACATGTGGCGAGAGTGTAGAAAGTCCTCATGACTGATAGCGTCTTCATTTTCCATATTCATATCTTGAATGTTCGTCACATTACATTTACAGGTATTAAATCCCTCTAAATCTTTTTTATATGAGCCACCGTGTTGAGCTTCGCCAGTTTTTTTTCATCACTCTTCTCAAATATCGTAGAAGTAATCATGGCAAATATTCCAGCGCCATCAATTCTTCCCTCCGCTGTCATACCCTGACACACTACCTCGTGACCAAAAGGCTCTTTGTTCTATTTAGACGCGTGGCGTTTATTCGAGAACGTACAACACGCATAGTCAAACAACGCCAACCGACATGAGATATGCCTGTGGGAGCTGTGGGCTTAACACTTATTTCGGGGCTTAAAGACGGAGGTTGTCCTGTATTTAGTGAGGTGTGGGGGCCATGGGAGGGGCCATTCCATGCTTTGCTCATGGTCGTCGGACCACCCCACTAGGAGGGTGACCGACCTCGCCGTTCAAAACTCAGAGTGGCCACATCGGCCCTCTTACAGGCAGGCGTAGAGGCGTCTCAGAGAGAAAACTGGGCAGGACGTAAGGCCAGTGGCCCCAGATTCCCTTTCGGTCTATGGATCAGATGGTGCTGGGGAGGGCCTGCAAGGCCTTCACGACAGACAGCAGGTCTAAGAGTGACCCCGATGCATGCAGCGAGCACGGGGAGAAGCTGACGCTCTTTTGCTTGGAGGACTTGGAGCCTATCTGCGGGCTGTGCGGGAATGCCGCGGCCCACCGAGGACACAGGCTCTATCCCATTGGAGAGGGGGCTCATGACTGTAAGGTAAGAGTGGCACACTTTGATTGCATCAGCAACAATCAACATGAGATTTCATCACCTGTCTATAGAATGACAAATTATAAATTCCAAATTCTATGCATGCCCCTTTGGTCTAAGTTAAGAAGATGTTGACTTATTCGACATTGACCTTATTATTTAATTATTTGCAATTTTACTTTTACTAGAATGTTATTCTTGTATTTTTTACTTTTATGTTTGTATATTTTTAGCATGTTCTTGTTTTGAAATTCATTACAGTAATTGTTACCTACTTACTCCACTAATATTTAGTTGTAGTTGCTTGGTTAGTTGTTTGCGTTGTCTTTTTTTTGTCCTTTTTAAAATATTTTATTGTATTCTAATTATACTTTTCATTTGATTAATTTATTTTCTTAATTGGAATTATTTTAAATTGTATGGATTTTTAAAAAACTTTTTAAAAACAATTTTGATATTTTCTTCTTTTGCTTTGGATTTTCTCAAAATCATTATACTTTTTAATTTATGAATACATTTTGTCAATTTTCTTTTTGTATTATATTATTCAGTATTTTACTCAGATTTGCATTTTTATACATTTTGTTTTAATGTTACTTGATTTAATTTGTATAAATTTTCAAGTATTTTATTTCCCTTGTCATTATTTGATTTTTATGGTAACTATACATATTTGATTTCATTTCATCAATATTTTCAGATTTTATTATATTTATTTGAAGTTCATCCGCAGGATTAAGTACCGGTATACTGTATCTAACAGTATGTAGTATTTGTATCTTTATCTATCAATCTATCTGGTGTATCTCTGAATCACACAGGCATGGCGTTTCTTTAATATGCACGATGATGGTGATCAGAGATTATTACCATTCTAATAATAGATTTTTGGCTTTCGCGTGGCTGCTGGGCTCCTGAAACTCAAGCCCCTGTGCACATTTTTTATGATAGCTCATCCCATTCTGCCTGCTGGGCCTCCCTCAAGAATGAGAGACCTGCGCCGACTAATGTGAAAAAAATACTCGCTTGGCCCAACCAGCACGAGTTCAGCTTTACGCTTGTCAACAGGCCGCGCTTGAGCCTTCCACACAGATGTGACCCATTTATTTGGCGCCGCAATGTGCGTCCAGACAGCGTGTTCCGCTGAAAGCTCCGCTGCCGCGCCACATTCTGACCTTGCTGTTTACTGACTTCCACATAGGAAGAGCTGCAAGGTGCCCTGCTGCCTTTAAAAGAGAAGTTGCAGCAGTACAGGGATGCCAAACTTCTGTGCGAGGACATGCAGGAGCACGTCAAGGTACTGTCTGAACGTATATACTGTACATTCACCTCAATGGTATCATGGTCAAAGTACTTTTAAGCGTAAGGGCGGCCAATCTGCCGATGTGAGGGAGCTCTGAGAAACAGAGACAAAAGGATAGAGCGAGGAGAGTACCAAAAGAGCTAATACAGTAGTCGTGAGGGACATATCATTTTAGCGACAGTGAGCTCTCCAAAATAATGAGGCAAGCCCATTGTATGCAGAGCCAGGCGGAGCACACGGAAACACAGATCAAGATGGAATTCGAGGCGCTCCACCGCTTCCTGAGAGAGCAGGAGGCGGACAGGCTCTCCGCCCTGAAAGCCGAGGAGGCTCACAAGAGCCTGGTCGTCCAGCAGAGGATCGAGGAGTTGGACCAAGAGTTGGCCTCACTCTCCAAAGTGATCCGCTTGGTGGAGAAAGAAATGGAAACGCAAGATATCCCCTTCCTTAAGGTAGGGAGAGCCGACAATAGAAATCTCATTTTCCTGCTTTGAATGGGCCCGAAAAACAATGTGAACGGCTGCGTTCCTTTTCGTTCACAGAATTACAAGAACATCATCAGGAGGTGAGCCTCAAGTTAACACTTTTGATGACAGTTATGAATATGTCTATGACAACTTTTCAACATGTGTTTTCAGAACCTGGATAAACTCCTGCGACCCCGAAGAGCTATGTGGTGCTCTGATCGACGTGGCAAAGCATATTGGCACTCTCAAGTACCAAGTGTGGGAGAAGATGAAGAAAATAGTCAAATACAGTAAGTGTGGTATATTTTATATTTTTCACAAATCTGTAATAATAGTCAGTCGACACATGTGGATGTAAAGGTGGTCAGAATTTCCAGACAGAGACTCTACACACTTCACTTTGAAAAATTACAACCTGACCCATATCGGCTTTTTTCAAGACCGATGCCGATTCTGATATTTGTCGGAATGGAACTTTGATAACTGATTAATCGTCTGATTAATTTTTGAAAATATATCATGAATAACCAACAATAAAAACATGAATTACAGGCAGAAGATTTGTCTTTGTCCTTTTAGTATTTGTTCCCAACAAAGGAAAAATCTGCAAAAATATATATATTTTTTGGGGGGGCGGGGTTTAAATGTCATTATCTTTTTTGTTGTTATTATGTTGTAATAAGTGGGCAAAATTCGAAAATAACATTTGTCCAGTCTTTGAAAGAGCTAATATTGGCCAATTAAGTCAATTCATCTCTTGGGCCTTATGTAAATTACTCATATAAATATAGTTATGTATCATTATAAAACAGTATTAAATACTGATAACATTTAGTATAACATACGCACTGTATTAGTACGGCTTTGTAGCAGTCAGTCAGATCTCAACCTCATACAACATGTGGGAAACACTGCACAAGAAAACTAATTCATGTCTAACAATGCGTCCTCTGCAAGGTCCCGTCATTGTGGATCCCAACACGGCCGCCAACTGCTTCATCCTGTCCGAGGACTTGACGGTGGTGCAGAACTCCACGCAGAACTTCAAACTCCCCAATAACCCGGAGCGCTTCGACGTCAGCGCCGAGATGCTGGGCGCCGAGGGCTACACGGAGGGCCGCCACAGCTGGAGCGTGGAGGTGAAGGACAACGCCTACTGGGTGGTGGGCGTGGCCAGCGAGTCCGTCACCCGCAAGGGCAAGCACGTGCTGACGCCCGCAGAGGGCTTCTGGACAATACGCTTTCGCAACGGCGAGCACAAGGCGTGCACGGCGCCGTGGGAGCCGCTCAACATGAAGGCCAAGCCGGACGTCATCAAGGTGATGTTGGACATGGACCGTGGCAAGGTGGCCTTTTACAGCCCTCCGGAACGGGAACCGCTTTACACCTTCACCGACGTCATCGCGCCAAAAGCCTTTCCTTACTTTTGCACAGCCTGCAAAGAACACCCGCTGACAATCCTGCCCGCTAAATTGACTCTATCGACAGACTGATCCCACGTCACGCGCGAACATCCACACAGAGCTAAGACGGCAGCCGAATCAGACGAAGAATCGAGTCTTTGTTCTGAAACAAGGGACGATTGTGAGAATGCAGCGCAAGGCACAGTGTGGCATTCACAATAAAGTGGAAAAATGCACTCATACTGTGTTTGAATTCGTGTACAGTCGGCATGGAAATTCATGGGAATAAACCAGGAATTTACTCAATTGAAGGTTGGCTCTAACCAACCAAAGCGGAGGCTCGCAAACCAGAATTTGAGAACCACTGTTATAAACACCGTGGAAAAAAAAAACCCAAGGCACATTTTAAGAAGGCATTTTTAATTGGGAGTTCACATAAAAGCGGTCATCTGGAGGATGTATATATTAAATCTTCAGCTGTTGATGATGTCACTAAAGGTTCTAGAAGTGGAATGTTAAATGAGAGCCAAAAAGGAACATTTTCTTTTTAAATCCATTTTGACACAAAATCGCATTATGACTTTTTTTTTAATATAAGGCACGTTAACAATTGTTGGTTTTGAGTCATGTGGACATGAAGATGGATTGGATTTTTTTTTTTCCATCCAGAGCACTATAAACATTAGTATTTGACCTTGCAAGCCCTTACATGGTGTCGCTTAACCCGGCTAGAATAGCTCGAACTTCCCTGCGGCAAAGTTGATCTAGCCGCCATACTGTCCTTGTAAGTCAGGATCGCACTCGAGTATGTGCGGCGAAGGCTCTGTGAGGTGGAAGAGGTAATAAATGCCCTCACGTGATGCAGCATCTTACTCCTACTGTGTTAAAAACAAACAAAAGGAATCCCCTGTAACAGTGCTGCCTCGGTGAGTAGTCGTGTCAACTCTGCTCCCTGAAGGATTAAAATTCCAGACTTCCGCATCACAAATGCACCCGGGCCTCCATTATGGAAACGAAGAGCTCGTCGTCCATCGCCACGTAGCGGCCGATTTTCACGTTTAAGAAGTAGAGTCGGTCGCTTGTGAACCGTGGGTCGTAGCCCTCCCTCTGCAGCCTGGTTTTCTGGATTTTGAAGGTACCTATGGAGCAAAGTGAAAGAAATGATATACGACATGATTCAGAAATGGGAACTCATTCGCGGTGGTTTACCGGTGGTGTCCACGCTCGGCGAAAGTCTTAGGAACACCGGCCGAGCGTACGGCGGGAGAGCCGTCTGGACCTTCTGCAGAAACGCGTCGCAGTCAAAAGTGCCATCAGAGTCCGCGATGGCTGCCATGCCCGCCTTCCCTTCGACACCTGAGCATGATATACAGGAGAGGATCAAAGAATTGTGACGCCTTAAATGTATTTACCAAATTCTCAGGAAAGTTCATCCAACCCGCTCAAGTCACTGCAGGTGTGCCCCAGGGCTCTGTCCCCGTTCTCTTGCTCTTTATTACCGACAGTACCTCCTCCCCCTCACGCTCATTTTCCATAAAAGATTCTCTTTCATTACTTCGCCGATCATGCCCACCTTTCCGAAAAGCACAGTATTTCACTTGCACCAAATGGCACCACAAGTGTTGTGGCTTGTTATCACAGGTTGAGTGTTTTGTGGTTGTTTCATTCTGAACAGTGGTTTCTTTTGATACGGTTTAAAGGTGTAGAGGCATTTCCACATCTTGTCTGGGGTCTTTCTAAAAAAGTTGGTCATACTGTTGAAAATCGTTATGTGCGTATCCCTTTATACGCTACATATACTTGATTCATAGAACACCACAAAAACAACCACAGCTGCATACAAAGTGCGATTATACATATATGTGGACTAACCTGGCACCGTCACGCCGTACACGGCGACGTCAGTCTGATCCAAGAGGTTGCTCAATATGCCCTCCACTTCTGTGGTGGACACGTTCTCACCCCGCCAGCGGAAGGTGTCGCCGCTGCGGTCGCGGAAATACATGTAGCCTAATTCATCCATCACCAAGACGTCACCTGTGGGGGAACACGGGAAGATCAAAGCCACCTCGAAAAAATAATGATGTCAATCATGACTCTTAGCTTAGAATTTTTCACGGAAACAAATATGACTGCTAACCTGACAAATAGGCTGAGTCGTTCTTCTTAAAGACGTTTTGGGCTATTTTCTTGCTAGTAGCTTCGTGGTTAACATAGCCGTCAAAGCGCCTCAGCGGGTCCTGTTGGTTGATGCGGCCAACCAGGAGCCCAGGCTCACCTGGAAAACACAGACGGACGGGATCCAGTGGGTACCTTTCAAGTCATTTATCACATTGAGGGAAGAGTAGTATTAGTTACCAGGTTGACAAGGGACACAAAGACCCCGGCTATCCCGGACCAGCTCCATGTTGCTCTCGTTCACTTTGACCAGGCGAATGGGGTAAACACTGGGCAAAATGCGACTGTTAAATCCACAGGCACCCACCTGGAGATGGAAATCCACTTATGTTCTTTCATTTTAACAAACAATACAAAGGCCGGTGTGAATGCCGACCTTGCCGTCCAAATTGGCGATGCTACAGTTGCACTCCGTGGCTCCGTAGAACTCGCCGATCTGCGCCACGCCGAAACGCTGGGTGAAGGCTTCCCACACGCTTGGACGCAGGCCGTTTCCAACCGCCAAGCGAACCTTGTGGGCCTTTTCTGACGGTCGCACCGGCTGAGACAGCAGGTAGCGGCAAATTTCACCAATATACTGGATCACCTATGAGTGAAATAATTTACGACTGCAATTACCTGACATTTTTTGAATGGACTATTCTACTGATGAGCCCATCGCTTAATTTCTGTTTTGCATACAACTCTGGTTGTTTTTAAGCGCTCTATAAATAAAGTCGAGATGAGTCGTGAAGTTCAAATGAAGACAAGAAGCAGACCGCAAATTGGTCATGGTATCGAAAGCCGCACTTTAGTTGCAAACGATGTCTCCTTTAAATGCAAATCACTTACTGTGCAGTTGTATTTGATGCAATCATCCCAGAAGCGACTCGCTGAGAATTTCTTCTTGACGACGACAGTCAGTCCATTTATCAGACTCTGGCCGACACCCATGATGTTACCTGGCAAAGTGAAAAGCTTTTGCATCAGTTGCGCTCCCTATTGGTGCAGGGGGGGAAAAAAGTGCTGACAAAGAATAGTCTCTTTAACCTGCAGAGTGATAGAGAGGAAGACAGTCATAGATTATGTCATCCGGGCGCATACGAAAAGCATAGTAGCCGAAAGCAGCGATTCTGTAGTACCTGTAGAACACACAGTTGCTCTCAGATGTCCAAACACGTGCGACTCATTTTTTTTTTTTTTAAAGGGAGACCATTTTATAAAGAGTAACATACCGACTGTGCACGACAATAGCAGCCTTGGGTAGTCCTGTGGTGCCAGAGGTGTAGATGTAAAACAAACAGTCTGCAGAGGAGAAGACAACAGAGCATTCAGTTACACATAAGAGCAAGAACGAATATGAGCGACAATAATGGACACCCTACGAACACGAGTGTGAGAGTGTGCTTCTTGAGAAAACACAGTTAAAAAAAAAAAAAAAGGTGAAAGTCTACGAAACATCTGACCTTGACTGCCCCTGTGGTGAGCTCATTTCTAACTCAATCCAACCTGGTCCCTCCTAAAGTGAACCTCAACATCTCCATCTCTGCCAGGTTCAGCTCTGCCTCCCGTCGTCTCTTCAGTGCCACTGCGTCTAAGCTGTACATCATGGCTGGCCTCACCACTGTCTTTGTAACCCTTTCCCGGCTAATCTTCATTCCTCTCCACTGCAGTGCATGTCTCCACCTTTCTAAACGTTCACTCCACCTGCTTCCTGCTCTCCCTGCAGATCACAGTGTCATCTGCCAACGTCACGACCCACGGGGAGTCCGGTCTAAAAATATGCATAGTATACAGTACAGTATAAAATATAAATGCATACATCAGCCACAAAAATATATTAAAAAAAATACAAAAATATAGAAAGTACAGTGGCGCCAATTGAAAGGAAATGCATCCCATTCTCCCCCCAAAAATCAACTAATTTTGTAAAGAAAAATGTCTCATCAATAATTGACAACATCTGTCTAGTGTCTTTGCAAGCCTGGTGATTTCTTAAAAATTAAATTCGAAAAACAAGATGGACACAGTTCATGTGCCTTTCTGACCCATTTAAGCTAAATGGACGTTCCTAAGGCAAAGCAATGTGTTTAATTCTCTGCTCTATGTTTAGTTTGACTGCAAACTTCAACAAGGAGTGGCAATAAACTGCTTGATGACTCTTTTTTGAACAATTGGTCCCTATCTGCCAAACTGCTGTTTTTGTTGTTGTAGCAGCAGCAGTAGTAGTAGTAGTAGTAGTAGTAGTAGTAGTAGTAGTAGGAGTAGTATATTTTTAGTCATCATAGAGTCATGTATTCCACCATACATACACTGCAACAGGCATAAACAATTATTTAATCCTGGCCTGTTCAAAAGTGAGTTTAATAATCACATAGTCGTCGTATCTTAAATTTTTGCTCACAAGGTAAAAAAAAAAAAAAAGTGTCTGAACAACGATTAAAAACAAATTTCTAAATCAGGTCACTCGTACTCCAAAGCATCAATTTATGAATATTGTGTCCTGAGGTGAGGGCATAGTTGAAGCAAACACACATAGGTATCAAAAATAAATATAAATATATTAATATATATAAAGTATGTAGTTACATAATTTAAAATTAATTGATATTTTAAAATAAAATAGTCAAAATATATTAATACAAAAATAAAACAGAATAATGTATTAAATAAAAATACAGAAAAATACCAATAAGAATACGATAAAAGCAAAGATAGATTCATTAATAGATAGTAAGCCATGGTCTAATTCAAGAGAAAAAACGCCATGCAGCACTACTAACCATTCATGCCTTTATGCTGAACGCAAGGTAAAGGGGAGTGCCTCGGTGTGGACGCTAAGATCGGATCAAGGGGTGTCGCACCCAGGTAGGCGCCATGATGAGTGCTGTGGTCTCCGGTACAAAACCTCACCATGGCCTGACTGAGGGAGGCGCTGATCTCCGACATGGCTGATATGTGGGACAAAGAGAAAAAGAAAAAAGAGCTCTCACTAATTGTTTGGCTTAAAAGGACTTATTTTCATATTAAAATTCATTCTTCGATTTCTTACCATCGGCAAGCTCAGCTCCAAACACAAGAGCCCGAGACCGAGACACCCCGATACAGTGCAGGAGGGAGTCCTTGCGGAGGTTGAAGTTGATGAGAGCAGCTTCCACGCCGACCTTGGCCAAGCCCAGCCAGAGTGCCACCTGCAACGGTCGACTCTCCATAAAGAGCGCCACCACGTCTCCAGTGACCCAGCCCTGACTTCTGGCCCAGTTGGCCACCGAGTTGGACAGTTGGTCTAACTGGGTGAACGTCCATGATTCCCCCGTGGCCTCGTAGATCAGTGCAATCTTGTTCGGGTTGCGTTTCACCGTCTGGGCAAACATGGTGAGGATGTTGCTTCCGTCGCGCATGTAACGCCACAGAGCCATCTTGACTCTTAGTAGCACACACAGGCCGCTGAGAAAGAGAACAAATGAGGAATTGGCAATAACGTGGTACCGCGATTTATGATTATTATTAAATGCATTCAATGTGAAGAGAGAATACGTCACAAAATTAGGAACACATGAGAGAGCCAAGCCAAAAGCTGAGTCACATAAAGCAATGCTTTCTTTTAAACGTCAGCTTTGCAGATGTCGCTTCCACTGTGCAAGGGGTGAATATTACAATAATAACTTCTTCAGCGATACGGTTAAAAATGTCATAGTTGAGCTAATTACAGCCATTGAGTGGCACCAACTGTTATTTTGTTTCTTCGGGCATCTATTTGAGGCACGGCGCTAATTTTTGAAGGTAGCACTTAATTGGGGTACACTGCCTATTAGAGGCTGTATATTGTACTACTTTATACAGCACCATGAGACGTGTGAAATTAGAATTAGTCCACCTACGTGACATCTCTCTTGGCGGTCAGCGCAGCCACGTAGAAATACTTCCAGCTGCTGGTGCCCAGGTACACCCCGACTCCCGCCACCACACTCCAGGGCCAGGACACCCCGAAAAGACGCAGCAGCCCCATGGAGCCCAGACAGGCTGACAGGCTTGCTGCATTGTGCATTCTAAAAGTCAATAGATTAGATGACGTTAGATGAGACAGACGGATGTATAGATGATAAATAACGTGACAGGGAGATTGATTTAAAAACGAGACAGATACATCCATAAATACAGATAGATGGGAGACGAATGTGCATACAATAACAATGAGTGACTGGTCTACATACATCTTTTATATGAGTTAATGCAGTATTTAGCATGCACTTTTACTTTTCCCAAAGTTAAAACTCTACTATACATTACAGAAGTAATACAGTACAGGTCGCGCGTGTTAGCCTCGCCAGCAAAACCCCCTAAAGTCATGTGCATCAACTCAACTTACCTCAAGTAAACAGACAAGTAACCTTTCACCCAATAACCCTAACCTAACCGAGGGGGGCACGTCAACCCTTAACTGTTTCCGATAATTAGCGATAAGCGATACTCTTCTGTACTTGCGTTGCTTTTTTCCCCTTCTTTTTTTTAATAGTTGTGACACTTTTGCATGTCGCCGGTTCGCGTGGTTGCAGTACAAAAAAAAAAAAGCTGACTGGCACTCCAAATGGCATCCGATGTAGGAGTCCCCGAACCAAGTGTGCCGTTTACAATCAGGAGTCCATCGTATCTGTATCTGTAAAGTTAAACTACATCTGATTGAGCATTTTTAAATTTTTCGGGTGGTACTGTGTTTTTTTCCTCCCCTCTGCACACCATATTGAATAGGGACGTCGCCGATGAAGCCCCGCCCCAGCGCCGCGTGAGGGCGACGTAACGATCGTATCTACTGGCTGACTAAGCTGCTCGTCAAACCAATGCTTAGTTTCTATTGGATCTTATCATCCACGCCCCTTTACACCCGCGAACCAGATTTGCCAGAGGTTGCTGAACGGTACCAATGGCACAGATTACTAAATCGGAGAATGTTGCGTAAATCTGCTGAACATCCTATGAAACAGTTTGCTCCTTTGGCGTATATGCTTGCTGAATATGAAAAGCGCCAAACTGAATGAAATGTAACAAAATGTTCAACTGTATTTTGGCGAGCTATTTGTCTCAGGTAAGTGCGAAATAAACATTGAATCGTTTTGTTGTCCACATTAGATAATATCGCTGTCAGAATCTGAAAATAAGACAATATCTCGTGTTTAACAGAATAATTTACATCAAAATGTCATTTTAAAATACTGTCGCACTTATAATAAGTGAATATGATCCCGAATCAGTCAAAAATGACAAAATATTTGACATTAGATGCTACAGCTCTTGTGCGATACATTCTTACGCTGGAAAATAAAAAAAAACGTCCTATTTCGATGCGTAAGACGCTTTAAAATGTCAATTCTATCACTGAATGCGAATATCTCCGAGCCCTCATGAATTGTTAGAGAGATTTGGGTGACGTCAATCTTAAACAGATGACAAAAGTGAAATATATTTGCTGAAAGAATGGTAATTTCTTTGCCCTAAATATATCACTCCAAAACATCATAGTGCCCATAATCACATGCAAAAGCAGTGCAATCTTAGTCCAATATCTAGTCACGAATGCTGCAATGATGAAGCATTGCACTTCAAGGAAAGTACTACAGCAAACACAAACACAGGAAACCACAATTTCAACATTGCTCGCACATACGTCCACATTATCTCGACACCTGACTCTGACAGCTTTGGAACGTACCTGTACCTTTGTAGCCAAGAAAACAAACCCCAGAGTCCAATAATGCGTCCTGTGGAGGACATTACTGCAGAGTGAAGGCCTGTGTCCTGCTAATGCGGAGACCAAAAGCACTCCATTTACAGCCTAATATTTGCTAAACAAGCTAGGGCAGTTCTGTGATTGAACAGTATTACGTGTTCCACCAGGTTAACGAGTTTCCGCCTCAAGAATGCTTTTCTGTTCAATCACAGTTCTGCAAATCACACCACAACAGTTGGTGTGTTCAGGTTTCTTTTGGAACAGTGTCACTGGCTGGCTTGTTTACTTTTGACATTTTTATCCCTTTATTAGGAAAACAAGCCAGGAGTGTTGTCAGTATTGGCTCTTGGTTAGACCCCCTCCAACCCTTTAATTTTTGAAGGTGACAAAACAGTAAAATAATTTTGAGATACAAGCTTTGTTTTTATAAAATTTCTAATGTTTCAGATTTCTGGCTGTCCAGCTGCAGCAAGCCAGAATGCTTTCCGTGGTGGGCAGCACATTCCAAAAAGTGTCACTCCCCGGAGTTTGTGTGGATGGAAGACATAGGGCACAAACTTTGGTGCTCATCGGCAGCTCTGATTGGAAACATTTTGTTTACATGACTCATAGTTAGGGAAGACCCAAAAGATACTGAGCTTGCAAAGCTTGGCGTAATATACCTCACAGAATAGCATTGTCAAAGAACTGAAAGCACAACACCTTAACAAATGCCACACATTTAAATGACGTCACTTCAAATAGAAGTCTAATGAGTGTGAATTATTTTGGAACAAGCCAATTTGTGACACATAAGTTGCATATGATGAGGCAATTAGTCAATAGTGTGCACAGTGAATATTAATTATCAGAACCGCTTATAAAAAGCTAAATATAAAATGATACAAATGTAAAAAAATACAAACTAAAAATCTAAAATGTAATTGTATTATTTAGCATTTTTAAACCGCCAGAGTAAAATATACAAAAATGAAAATAAGTACCCTGGGGAGGGAAAAAAAACATGTTTTCACACCTTGGAAATAATGTAATTTATCAAAAGAAACACAATTATACGGTACATCGCAGTGCAACAGGTGGAGTAGGAAAACACAATTGACAACACACAGTGAATTGCACAAAGAATTGATCTGAATCTCTACAACTTGTCTTTCATTTTTTTGGGCCAATATTCACACAGCGTAAATATGTCTGACACGTTATACAGAAAAAAAAAATATACATTTATACATACATTTTTAGATTGTTTGGGGTAGTTAGACACAGTACCTGAATTGATGCACCTGACAGAACAGGTTTTTAATTTGAAATCCAATTTTACACATACATGTGAGAAATGTGCATATTGCACATATAGCCCTGAAATAGCTCATTTCAACGGGTCGTTTTTTTCTTCATGTAGCCAACAGAATATTGAATTTAAATGACATCATAACGCTCAACATTTCCATGTCAGTTGCTTAGAATGCCGCGGCATATTCATAGAGAAGAATAACGCATCTCGACGAATGGCTGGCCAGTGCTGGTGGAGTACACGCGACCAAGAAATCAAGAGTTTGTCTCCTCAGATGTGGGACTCTCCTGTGTCCTGGCTGCTCTTGGATGCCTTTGAATGGATGACAGGAAGAAAGAGACAAGCCTATCAGTCACCACTGGGCAACTTTATTGCTCATTCATTATCGGCAAAGGCTGGGCAGCACTGTCAGCAGGATAAAAACGCTTCACCTCCATGTGATCAATCGTTTGGGATTGTGTTTTGTCATTTACTACACTGCAACAGAACACAGAGATGATTTTTTTCCCCCAGTATTTTATTTTTGATTTATGTAATTTCAAAATGACCAATTCGATTATTATTGTTGTAATTTATTGTTAACAGTGTTTTGTTTTCAGCAAGTGTAGTTGACAGATACAATACTATTTTTGTATTTCTCACGGTGTGAAAGCTGGGCTTGTTTTTGCTGAACACACTGGTGTATGAATAGCAACTCACGGATATACAAATTAATTGTCCTTTCTCCACTGAAAAAGTGTGTTGAATTTACTCAATTCTATTTCCTCAAGTGTTTGCACAAAATATAATTATCTTGATCAAGGTAAATGTTTTATGTCTACTATTTCTCACGGTGTGAAAGCTGAGCTTGTTTTTGCTGAACACACTGGTGTATGAATAGCAACTCACGGATATACAAATTAATTGTCCTTTCTCCACTGAAAAAGTGTTGTGTTGAATTTACTCAATTCTATTTCCTCAAGTCTTTGCACAAAATTATCTTGATCAAGGTAAATGTTTTACGTCTACTTAAATAAACAGTGTGTCTAGATCCCGATGATTTTATTTTAATAATTTCAATTAGCTCAAATTGGATAAGTTCACGTGGCACAGTGGTAGTAAATCACTATTTTTGATACACTTTAACATATTTGCTTATTTGTTGGTATCGGTAGGCCAAGAATTATTTCAAATTATTTTCTTTTTTCTTCATTCATCGAAAGCTATAGAAATGAACCTTTTGGGGGCACCTCGACATGGCCAAAAGCTCACCATTTTTTTTGGGATGAAACTGTATAAATTTTAGGGGACTTGAACATGACCCCACCCTGCCCTGTACAGTATTACTCACTCAGTAGCCCACCCTGATGAGTCCCATTCACGAGTTTCAACAATTGACACCAAACTGCGTGGACAATTCCATTATAACAGAACACACAAAAAGTTTCAAGGACCCATGCTTGAAATTGAAAAGGAAGTATGGTATTTTGGTTTAAAATTGACGTTTGGGGGATTCCACCAAGAATTTGTCCAAATAAGGCGTAACCGGAAACATCTAATCCGGACACTAAAATTGCGCAACTTTTTACCTCCTAATGTGAGTGGAGCATGGCATCAAAATTAATCCATCATTTATTCGTCTTGAAAAATAAAAAAAAAAAAAGATTAGAAATGAGTATTAGAAATGAGTTCCTACGTGTTGTTTGCTGGGAAATGAGCTGAATTCAGAGTAGCTTTTCTTTGGCGGTGCATTGAATCTGGACAGGAGGTTTCCATACTCGTCCCTCACCTAAAATCCACAACAACAAGATTGAAAGTTGTTCAAATGTTGCTCTTACAAAGACTTTGAGTGGAATCTAACTGATTTTTTTTTTTTCAGTGATTGACCTGCTTGGAGAACAGACAGTGCATCACAAACAGCATCAGGCCCTGGAGGCTGGCGAAGATGGTGAACAGGTAAGACATGACCATGGTGTTCTTTTCAAATTGGAAGCAGCCAAAAATCCACGTGATGCCAAGCACGCAAAGCTGGGCCACTGCTGTGACGGTGAAAGCTCTGCAGGGGGCGGCAAAGAAGCACGTTGGGAGAAATAAGGGGCGGGTGGGGCTTCACTCAACACATCTTTGGTATGTTGCAGGATAAAAACTTTTAAAAATATGCCATTTACACTTGCTGACTTACTTTATTTTCTGTAAGGTGTTTAGGTCAGGGTTCAGACTTGAGAATTTCTGCGCCAACTTCCACGCCGTGATCAGAAAGAAGAAAATGTTGATCTGGAAAGCAACAGTGGGCATATTATGGAAATGTAACTTTTATTGTTGTGTGAAAACACACAAATACGCTGTCGTGTAACAATTTGACACATTTACTAACAAACAAACCTCACACACCGAGTTTCGGAATGTCTTATGAAATTCCTGTTGTACTTACGGCAATGATGACGCAAACCGGGCCCAAAAAACTCCAGATGAAGTCCACATTTAACCAACAACTGCAAACACACGTGTAAAAGTTGCAAGGTGACCCAGCGAGGAATAGAAAATCACCATCATGGAGGAGAGTACTCACTATCGCTGGGTGCCGTATCCTTTGGGGTTGATCAAAGCAGAGATGGCGACAATCGCAGCCGGGACACCGTAGCCACCCGTCATCATATAGAGGGTCCGGAAATTGGTATTGAACACGAGAATAACCATCCGGAAGAGCTGCACGCCTTCCAGACACATCCAGCAAAACGCGGCCAAGAAGAAATAATGGAGCAGGCCGGCGATCACTGCGCAAGCATTCTAACAGATGGACACAGCAACAGTATTGGACAAGTCACTTCTATTTCACCTCTCCATTTTTTGAAGCGCTTGTCCTCATTAGGAGCTTTGTGCAGGGCACATATATAGATAGTGATAAAAAAAATCACAATCAGATCATTTTTCAAATTCATTCAGCCCTACCGCAGTCCCTGAAAAGTCAATGAGGATCCAGTAAGGTCTGCACAGGAAGGCAGGAGCTTTTTAAAAAAAAAAATACTCACTTGGTTCTCTGTACGAGAAATTCCTACAAGAAAGATGAGGGCGGCGACAAAGAGGCTGATGCACAGGTGCAAGTGGATGGTGGTCCGGGGGCTTTGGATGGAGCGGATGAGCGAAAAGGTCAGGATGCAGATGAGCAGGCAAATTAGCGACAGGGACAATCCGACCCAGGTCGCGACCTGCAATTCAAACGTCGCCTGTCCGGAGGAGAAGAGATGCATAAAGAACATCTCCCAGCTTCATGCTGGAAACCATCCTGAGAGATAGGCTGAGTTTGGAATCCCTAATCTATATATACATGTAAAATCAACACTACGAATGGCTAACTGTCAATCAAAAGAGAAATGGTGGATAGGGAGTGATTACTAAACACAGCCAGAGTGTTCACCTCCACATCGTAGAGGGCCATGAGCACAGCAAAGGTGCTCAAGTGGTTGCAGGAGCACACGGTGAATTCAGAGTTGGACTCCACCGCCGTGCAGCCGTCGGCAGACCAGCTCCCGTTCCCATTGGAAGCGTTCCAGAACACACACAAGTGGAGACGCCCGTTTCCCTGGAAGAAAACAAGACAGATAGATGTCCTGTGTGCGTGAGTCATTTAATCTCATGAAAGGAGAATTCTTTTCAAGAAATACGATCATACAAGACAGCTTGGATATTTCCAGAATTTAGTATGATTTGTTGCAAAATGTAATTCACTACTGTAAAATTAATAGGCTCGTCTTATAATTATTTGAAAACGTTTTTTTCGGGTGCAAGTAGATACTCGTCCTCATTTAGAACCTGCGGAGTTGATAGTTACCCGTGTCAAGTGGCTAAAAGTTAGAATGACTGGCTCCTCCAGGTGACTGGTGTTGGTGTTCGTAACGGAGACGGTGACTACTTTGGAGTTGATGACGAAGCTTTCGTTGGCCTGCGGATTTATCCCGCTGAAGAAGCCATCGGTGAAGGTTTCTAGGTTTGCATAGCTGAGCAAGGACACACTTGCGAAGCCTGCGATGGTCACGACAGAAACACAACAATCAAGCTGACCCCTTCACGGAAGCGTTCATTTGGTTGAAGGTGTGAACACCACCTGGGTACAGGGAAGGATCTCCAGAAACTGTTTCCAACGTGATATTCAACGTGACTGGCTTAGTTGATAATATCGCGACTCCCTGAGGTGGCATGGCTCCTTTGTGGTTAAGGAGATCCAATTCTGAAAACGGAGCAAAATCAGTTCGACATTGCGTTTTTTTTTTTTTTTTTTTTTGTATGAGTTTGACAGCTCATTTTATTGTATTAAAAGTTTACAACATTAATTTATTCAATAAAATGTTTACATACTGTAAATGTTTTTGCAATTTGCGAGTGGGACCATGACCCACCTGAGCCAGCAGGGAGAAAAAAAAAATGTTTTGTCACTTTGTAAATCGCATTACCGCTCCCTACAGGCCTGGAGCTGAAGTGCAGGCATTTCATATGTCTATGCGCGGTTACACTTCTGTTGTGGTAAAGTAGGATAACCTTTCATTAAGATTCCGACTAAATCTTAAACAAACAAAGTCACTGGAAATAGAGTATCATTACCCGTATGTGCGTATGATCTCCTTATTCTGCCGGCGTCAATAAAAGGTCCTATCAGATTCAACGCACTCTCCACCAAGTCCAGAAATTTGGACACTTTCCTGTTTTCGTTCAGAGCGCCAGTGAGCAAGAGTTGATCAATGACCAGCAAAAGTCTCTGTAAGGAAAAAAAAAATCACTTTTGTTGGGAGTTGTGGTCTTCATTTGATGATATGTTTAATGTTGTGCTGTGTGTAATGTTGTGGAAGCCCCTGGAGTGTTTGGAAATAAAAATCACAACCAGTACGTATGATTGACACAAAATTGGGTACACGTGGTACACATATTCATCATGATTAGGTGCATGAAATAGTTTCGGGAACCCGTACTATGAAATGCACAGGAAGTTTTGTGGGAAAGTGGCCATTTTGGCCATTTAGAGGAGTTCTTCAGTTCCATTCATCCATTTTAATATAGCATATCCCAACTAACTTTGGTTGAGGACTGGGATTCACTCTTGGTAAAGTAGTATCTGTGTCGTAGTACCAGATCATTGTTTCATGGGTGAGTATAGTACAGACGTACACTGATATTGCTGCATGCCTAGTACGAGTATTTTTGCAATATTAGATACAAAGGTCTGAGCAGAAATACCCAAAGCAGGTCGGGGTCATCGAAGTCTTCTGGATCCTCACCCTTGGTCAGGTCCTCACATTTTCGTTTCAGCTGCGTCAGCAGATTATGTGCAATGGCAACATTCTAAGCAGGAACCATTTAAGGAGAATTAAACACAAGAAGAGCTTTTGAAGTTCACTACTTGTGCGTGGACTTACCTCTTTTAGATCCCATGTGTCTTTGAATGCATCGCAGTCTAATGCTGAAGACAAAGGAGTTTGGTTCAATAAATTGTCCCTGAAATGATGCTGGAGGAGAGAGAGAGAGAAAAAAAAATCCTACCCGTGCAACGAGTGGCTTTGTTTCCATAATTGGTAAACCCATCTTGGCACGCACAGTAAGGGCCACTGGTTCCAATGTGGCAGGTTCCATTTCCACAGTGGTTTGTCTCATCAATCGAACATACAGCTTGAGAAAAACAAAATCAGAATGTCAAAATATTATTTTGAGCAAATGGGTTCAACAAGCGGAGCTTTATGTATTTAATGTGGACACAAAAGTTAAATTGCTTGTGTACAAATAACTGAAACTTCCAAATTTCCCTCCGTGGCATGTTTGCACTCACAGTTGACACGGAGGCGCTCCAAAGCAGCCACGCCAAAGGGCTATCCAAAGACGTATTTTTCGGATGTAGGTAATTGCACCAGATAACCACGGATGCGAACAAAACTGCTCAAGTTCTTATCAAGTGAAAGATGGGTAAACTCATGCCGGACCCAAAATACGCCACCGGGCCCCATTTTAGCCAAACGTCCAAATTCAGGAAAACTGAAATGGTGAAAACCAGCTTCATGTCTCCACAATTCATTGCTACATAGTTCTCAGTCTTTGCATATGTTTTCTCCAATTATCTTCGAATATTCATTCATTCATTCATTTTCCAATTCTCTTATCCTCACAAGGGTTGCGAGGGGTGCTGGAGCGATCCCAGCTCTCTTCGGGCATTAGGTGGAGGACACCCTGAACCGGTTGCCAGCACCAAACAGTGTCTTTTTTTTGTAAGGTGCAACATTTGTCTTGGATTACACACTCAGCAGCCGCATGGCGTTGCTGACCTGCACGGGGCTCTTGAGGTAACGTGAAGTTGTTTCCGCCAGACTTGATTGCGAAGCCGGCATTGCTGACGCAGTCATAACTGCCGGCTGTGTTGGTGCACGTCGCATTGGGCCAGCAGATATTTTCCTCTAGACACTCATTCACATCTATTCAGTGGATAGACAAACATCATCAATCTCTAAACAGGAAAGTCATCCACATTGCAAACTCCATGTCCAATTGACTGCTGCAGCCTATTGTAAACGGCCATAACTTTAGGCACACCTGCACGTGAATATTTAGAAAATTCTGCATTTCCATTGGGCCATTACAGCTTTTGAAGACTCCGATTTGTGGCACGTGAAATAATTAAACCGTGCATGGTGTTACAGAGGCTGAAAGTTTTTGTCATCCAGTACATTTGTTATGTACAATTCTGTTATATTTAACTATGAAGTACAATCTGTTTGCATTTTCTCTTTTAGAACGATTTATTTTTGAAAATGTACATAGGAACAGGTCTTATTCAAATTATTGTCAGGTATACAGCCATACTTAATTTTCAACTTTTCAAACTATGCCACCCCC